AAAAAAAAAAAAAAAAAAAAAAAATCCAAAACGACAAAGCATTGTTGTGAATATATAAAAGGCGTAAAATGGCGCACTGTGGGGAAAGCTTTAAAATGGGGCGGAGGGCGATATGAGGTGCTGGCCCAGGTTTACACAACCGTGAGGAGAAAAAAAAAAAACAAACAAACTACACGAACAGCTTATCTACATTTGATTGTATTTCCCCCATGGGGATATAACACTTGCCATGCGTTGGAACGGCACGTGGCGCAACTTAAAAATTAACTGGCCAAAAAAAAAAAAAAAGGGACACACACATTTCGCGCTGTAAAAAAAACAAGCGGCCTAAAATGCTGCATTTTTATGCGAGCAAAATTAAGGCATAGCAAAATTAAGGCATAGCAAAATTAAGGCATAGCAAAATTAAGGCATAGCACAATTGGGGTGAATTGTGACTGGGTTGGGCTTAGGCGGGGGTCGGATCCGGGGGACAGAGGGCAGACAGCCACGCTAGCACCTTCTGCAGAACCTGTTCGTTGCCCGGTTCCATGGTGAGGACGTGGTCCATATCATCCGGTACGTGTAGCTCCTTAAGGTTGGTATTAATTTTTTTAAAAAATGTTTCGGCACCCCCAAAGAAACAAGCACTGTCATGTCTGGAGTGGACGAAAAGAATGGGGATGTCCTCGGGAATATGATCAATGTCATTATTTAAATTTTCAATTGCGTTCAAAAGCTCATAACCCAACTTGCACGTGATGGGTTTTTTATTTCGAATTTTGTCGTAGTTAAAAATCTGATTAACGTATGGGTACTTTTTAAAGTACAAGGATGGCGTCAGTCGCAGGGTTGGAAAAAGGGTAGCAAAAAATTTGCTACAAGGAATAAAAAAATATTTGTAAGATGCTCTCGAGGCCAATTCGTCAATGGAGATCATTCCTGCTAGACATATACAACCTCTTACATTTAATTTTGCATTATGGTTTTTGGACTTCCCCAATATTTCTAATGTCCTTAGTACAATGTTTCCTCCCATGGACAACCCCATAATGTAGAAGGGCGGCGTTTTCGTATTTCTGAGATTATTGTGAATGGACCAAGAGGAGGCGTTGTTCCTTTGGGTCAGGGAAGAAGGTGAACCGGAAGACATGTGGGACGAAGGAGAAGTCGCCGATGTGGGAGAACCCGATGAACCGCTCCTACTCGTTTGGCCACTCGTTCCATCCTTCCGACCGCTCAGACAGATCACGTCATGTACCCTATTCATGTACTGTATCAGGTCATAAACCATATCATCAAACTTCTTCACATTCGTTTTTATATTTCTCCATCCATCCGATTGTCCATGTCCCTGATGGTCCATTCCATACACTGAGTAACCACTCTTGTTCAAATGCTCAATCCAGCTGTCTTTGTAAATATAATAATTATCTGCATCCTTTAGAATAGCTTTTTGTGTGCTCACAATTTCTACATTGTGTCGTAGGTACTCTAACCGTACATGTGTGTTGAGTCCATGGACCAGGAATATGACTCCTTTTGGGTTCTTTACTTGCCAGGAGTAGGTCTTCAATGTGAGTCCATCTCTGTTGTGGAAGGAATCTACTTTGGGTTTTCCGTCCAGGCGCACGCTTCCGGTGGAGCCTTTTGGGCCCGTCGAACTGGATCCCCCGGCCGCACGGCCTCTCCTGCTGTCGCGTTCCGCGGGCTTCGCCTCGGACATTCGCGCGGGATGTGTAGCGGTGGGACTGGCGGTAAGAGTAGCAGCGGTAGTGGCAGCGGTCGCGGTGGTGGACGCGTGTGTACCGCTTACAGGGACAATGACACAATGGGACCAGAATAAGTAATCCCTGTTGCAAAGCAGGTCACGAAGCGGAGTAATAAGTTTATTCAACTAGTGCTCCTATACACAATGTGAAGAAAACGGAGCAGTACGGGTAGTAGTCCCTCACCACCACCATATCACTGGCTGTTTTTTTTCTTACACACAAAGGAACACAGACGGGGGTAAGCCACATCCACATGACTACCTTACGCAGTCGAGTCAAAAAAACACAGGACTGTGCTGCAAACAAATTCTCATTTCAGAAACAATTATGCGATATATGGAAAGTAGTCCCAACACGCGTGCGTATCTTTGGTCACGCATTTGCCACTTGGTATGGGCCTCTTCTCCTTTTGACGCCTCAAAAAAGGGGAAGAAAAATGAAGGTAAACGAACGGGGAATGAGAAAGAAAAAAAATGTCCCCCAAACAAACCGCAAAAAAGCAATGCTAACCTTTTAGCATGACAAAAAAAAACGCATCACTCATGTGAAAAAAAAAAAAAAAAAAATTGTCAACTCGGTCAGAACGTTCTTTTTTTTTTTTTTTTTTTTTTTATTTCTTTTTAAACCATGTTTTTTTTTGGTGTACCCGATGAGGTTACTCCCGTGTGCACCCCCCCGCTATGGCTTATATTACGTGTGAAAAGATCTCGCATCCTTGGGGCGGACTCCGAAGGGATAACTTCCCTCCCCCCACCCATACGAGGAAACACAAACCCTGTCACAGCTGCGCAATGTGACGTACTCACCACAGCGAAGGGGCAGTGGGGGAGTGGACAACTGCATTTGCAATGTGAAGGAGGGGTAGGGCGAAATGATTTGAAAAGGGTTGGGAAATGTATGGGAAGGACACAATTCGTTCGTTTGGCGGAAAAGCACCTTGGACAACGCATTTGCAGTGTAGTTCCCTAAAAAAAAAATATGAAAATGACATTCAACGAGGGGAACACGGAAGAGTGATATCAAGCCTAGACGAGAAATTGCACCTCCACCGTGCGGCAGCTACACTTATGGGGTGTGTGGATTTTCTACCCGTTTCTTCCTTTTCAAGTGTAAAAGTTGATACTTCATGGGCCAGTCCTTTTAAGTGACGGACTGTGGGTGAAATTGATCCCGCGTGGGGCAGCCACGAAAGGAACCTACACCAAGTGCTTCTCCTTTCAATGGCCACACCAGGCAGAACGTTTCATGTGCCCATTGTGGAAGAACCCCATGCAGAACAATCATCTGACGGTTCTGCTTCCCACTCTTAAAATGAAATTTATTCTTGTGTGTCTCCCTTTTTTCCCAAACGTGCGGGTTCCCCCATAGAAGGTACATAAACTGTACCGCACCAGCCATCACTGGGTTATTCGTGTGACACATTTTACCGGATGTACGAAGGCGCACCTTTTGCAAAATGCTTCCGTCCACGCGATCTCCTTCGTTGCTGCGCTTGATTTAGATGGGGAGAGAAATGTAGAAGCACCCAACGGGGGTGAACTTTCACATCCAAGAGTCGTATGCGTGTGCGTCGACATATCACGGGGATTGGTGCCTCCCACTAGGATAACACAAAAAAAAAAAAAAAAAAATATATACATATAATCATATATATGTATGCATTTTTCTGTACCCCCCGCGCGAGTCACTTTTTTCTACCCTTCGTTTTGTGCTCCCCCACACGGTTTAAAAGGCCCACGCGTGTTCTTCCCACCTGTGCGTGCATCTGAATGCAGGTATACACGAGTAGTACTGACTCGTACCTTCCGTTGCACGAATGGCTGTGTGTTTGCCTAACTGCTTCCCCTCCTTCCAAACGCCAAAAAAACACTTCCAAAGGTTTATTTCTCCCCCCCTTTTTTTAGGTGCCCCTTTGTTCCCTTTTAACCGAGGCGAGAAAAGGAGAAAATGCCGCTGGGGGTCCCTTTGAGGAAGTACCTGTTCATTGTATCCACGTCCTTCTTGTGCATGGCTATGGGGTCTTGCTGCGTTCACCTGGTGATGAAACCCGAGATGAAGGAGCACGATATTTCGAAGCACTTGCAGAATCGCAACAGCGCTATCCAGGAGGTGCAACGGGAGATCCTCCGCCGAAAGACGTCCTAGGGAGGTGAAGCGGTAGAGAAGCGATAAAGCGGCGACGCGATAAAGCAGCGAAGTGATAAAAGGGAACCCTCCCGAGGCCACACGATCTGAAAACAGAACTTAGCGCCTTATGGATGCCACCAAAAAATCGCATTAGCGCCGGGGTAGACCCCGTTAAGTTCCTATACGAGAATGAGTGCACTGGTGAACCTGCACGTGTGTCAACTTTATTTTTTTTTTTTTTCCTTTTTTTTTGTCGTGAGGAAAAGAATACATGCATATGTGCAAGTACACATGTAGGCATGCATGACGAACCAAATTTGAAACAAAAAAAAGGTGACAAGTGGCCCTGTGCGGAAATAATCTCCCGGGGAAAGGCCCTTCCAAAGAAACAAATATGAGCAGTTATGCAAATCTGCCATGTGAAAAGTGTACAAATGTGTATCAATGCTTAACCAAAAGTGCTGCACTGGAGCTGTCCCTTTATGGTATCCGCAGGACAAATCGTAGGACATTTTTACGCCCCTGGAGAGTGGCCAGTTGGCAGAGCGGACGATTGGAGTCCATGCGAACGACGCGAGAATGGCAACGTCCGCATCCCCATCTCTATCGCGTTTGGGGCGGGGCCGCCGCCTCATATGTCCGAATCAAAAATGGATTTCAGGTGAGAAGGAGCGACTCTATAAACCCAGACGTTGCCCTCTCGCCGGTCCAGTCTAGATGTCCTTTGTCGAGCCCTTTTCCTAGTAACAATAAGTTCTCGAATGTCCTCAATAATTTCTCTGTTCAAAGACCAGTATGAGTGTCTCAAGGTATGCACATTTGATCCTAACCAAGTGGTATCTATCACATCTACATCTAGCCAATCACGATTATCTCTGCAGCAGTAAATGGGTTCTATCCCTGTAAAAACGAGCAGAGTATTTCTGAACATAGGTGGCTGGTGAACAAACTTATGGTGAGTCATATCCTTGTTGGATTTCCCCTGATCCTGCTCTAAGGACGTTTGTTCATTGAGATCATTCGAGCCGTTACTACCCCTCTTTGTACAAAAAAAATGAAAAATTTTCTTCATTTTCTGTACAAGGCTAGTCATAAAGCCTTTATTTCTCATTTTTTCTTTTGAGGATACATTAAAATTTTCACAGTCAAAAAAGGAAGAAACTAATTTGGGTTCTTCAAAACTATTATCACTCTCGTTTGTTTCATTTCTATTAGGGATAGAAAAATAATCCAATTTGTTACTATCGAAGATGTAATTTTCCATCCCATTTGATCCCTTATGATAGGTGTCTTTGCATATGTTTAAATCGAATACATTTTTTCCAAGCGATTTTGTTCCGCTGAAAATTTCTGCCCACTTCAATGCCTTGTCGTTCGAGTCACAATAAATGGATATGACTGTACAGAAGGAACGAAGGAACACATACTCCTTGTTTACGAAATCACTTAGGTAGTACTCTGGGTTCATCATTGTGAGTGTGATGAGTTTCATTTTGGTGAGGTTATTTTGCCCCGTTTCCTTCTCGTCGATGGTTGAGAAGAGGTCGCTCTTCACGATGTCGTGGAAGGCCAGCAGGAACATCCTCGTCCCCATACTGTGCGTGATGATGTGTACATGCCGGATTCCTGCGCGGGGTGGAGGGAGGAAAGGTGGATGTGTGTGAGGTGGATGAAGCGTGTACTGTTGCGCGGGGGGTGAGTTCCGTCGTCGCATCCCCTGATACACTTCTCCCCCCCCCTTACCGTTACTCCGCAACGTGTCCAGGAAGCACTTGAACGCGTGGTGCCCCTTCTTATTCTTAGAGTTGTCCTTGGCGATGAAAAACTCCAGGAAGTTCTTCCCCGAGGGCCAATTGAAAAGGAACAGCTTGATGTAATTGGGGAAATTTCCAAAGGACGCCATCTGCCCCAAGATTTGTAGCGCCTCCAAGTGACTGGTGTTGTAGCCATGGATAAAAATGACCGCCTCTAAGCAACCAGCCAATTCACATTTTACCCAGCCATCTAAACTGAGCTCCTTTATATTATCAATCCAGGAGTAGAGTCTTCTGTTTGTCCCTTTTTTATAATTAAGTGTATTTTTTCTTTTGTTTATAATTTTAATTTTGACCTCACTGTCTTCGAACTCGTTTTTTCTCGTCTTATCATGTATGAAGTTACAATTTTTTTTGTTAATGTAGCCAGTGATGTAGAGTCCCCTCTCAGCATCAATCGATATATGCAAATCGGTGTTGTATAGGATGCCAAAGTTGGGCATGTGGGGACATAAGTTTTGAAGAATTATGTTCATGCATTTTGTTTTATACACATTTGTTATTGTGTCGGAAAAGAATATTTTTTTTTTTTTTTTTTTATTTTTAATTTTGGCAAATTTCCAGAAAGTGCCCTGGGTAGGAAGGTCTTTCTTCCCCCCAAGTTTTTTTTCTTAATATTTGTTTTGAATTTTGTTTTCATTTTGTTTTTTTCTTTTTCCTTTTCTTTCTGCCTTGTTTGTGTGTTTTTTTTCTTTTTTTTTCTTTTTATCTGCATCTTCAAGTGCTTGAATTTTCGTAGGTGCTGTATGGTGTTGGTCATGCTGTAGCCGATGTGTCTTTTGATTTTCCTCCTCACGTTCTGTGCGTTATTCGCTCCGTTAATCTTCCCGTTAATCTCTCCGTTCTGTTTGCTCTCGTCTCCTTCACTGTTCGCGTCTGGGCTTCCTGACTCTACGGGGGGTGCCTCGGAGCTCTCCACACCGCCCATGTGCAGCCGCACCACTTTATGCTCCCTCTTCTGGCTCCCCCTGCGTGTCTTTTCCCTCCCCGCCAGCAGCTCCAAATTTGGCTTCGCGCACGGGATAGCTGCGTCGTGTTCTTCCAATCCCTTCCGTTTTATCCTTTGCTTCGACGCTACATTCGAATGGTGACGCGGGTCCTCCCCTTCTCTGCCTCCTGCGGTTGGAACGTCATCACCGTGAGTAGCATCGTACTCATTATCATGACGCTCATCACATCCATCCCGCGTTTCGTCGTTATCCCCCCCTTGCCTTGCAAACCCGTGCTTCATCCGCATGTCCTGGCACTTCCTCCTTGGCCGGGTGTACACCTTATCCCCTGTCCCCAATTCGTAATCAGGGCAGCTATCATTCCTAGCATGATTGTTCCACCTGCGAGACAGTTGCTCTTCTGCTGATATGTGGGAGTCCTCTTCCTTACTTGCTCTACCCTTCTTCATTTTTTCACTTGGTAATATTTTTTTCCTTCTCCTATGCTTCTCCCTTTTGTGTACTTCTGTGTGGTCACTTAACTGGTTGACATACTTAACTGGTCTTCCGGTTCTGTGTTCATGGTGCCTCCATTGGCTCAATTTAGTTGCACCCATTTCGGCACGAGGGAGGTGCTCGACGTCGGTGACGTGCGTGTCGCCTTCGTCCAGCAGGGTTGGCATTTCCTTCGCATGGGACGTGGCAGAAGGGGGGGTAGAAGAAGGCGACAAGGAACATGATGCGCATGAAGAGCGTGAAGAGCGTGAAGACGGGAAAAAGAGCGAAGACGAAAAGGACGAGGGGAATAATGGTGGTGCATCACGGGGGAGAGACCCCTCCGGAAAGGCGGACGATTCATCATCCATGGCACTTGGCCTAACTCCCCACTGCTGCTGACACTGCTGTTGCTCCTCCTCCACACCATCGCTTGTCTCCATTTTATTATTCAACACGGAATGCGTTTCATTGTCCACAGTCAGGTCGTTAAAATCGTAACTGAGGTTGCAGATATCATCAAAATTGAGTAGCTCTCCTTTGAGGAATGGTTCATTGTTAATGATGGAGGGAGGGATCTCATCGCACGTCATGGTGGACCTGTTGTTGGACCCTTTTCTATGGTCCTCTTTGCTGGAGGCACTCATAAACCTTCTCCCTTCAGAACCTCCTCTTTCCATTTTTTTTACTCTGCCCATTATTCTGCTCCTACTGCGTATTCCCTCAGAACTGTTCTCATCCAGGTCGCTATGGTGGCCTATTTTGTTTTGTTGATCTATCCTGGCAGGGTCCGCTTCCCCTTCTCCACCATCCTCACTGTCTTGTAGAAGCTTGGCGTAATCCACGCGAAGAATATCATTGCTGGCTCTGCTGATGTGTAGGTACTCACAGCACTCCCTCTTTTCCATAATGCCGTGTTGGTCTTCGTCCTTTTTTTTGCTTCTGCGGTTGGGAGTTGTTAAGTTCAGGTCGTAGAATACCACTCGGGGGAAGGTCCTATAGAACGCCCCACTGACACAGCATTCCGTGTCGGCCAGACCTGCAGTTGGGTGAGAAGAGGCAGGAGTGAATGCGCAGATGGAGATTATACGCCCGTGTGTAGTGTGTAAGGGGAAGAAGGCAAACATATTTGTTGCTTTTCTCCATCTATCATGCCAGGTGGCCTGCTCCGCTGTCCTCTCTCCGCACCTATGTCCAAGTCGTTTGGCTCGCAGTTGGTGCGTCCGTAACCAATTTTTATGCACATGAATCCAGAGCCCGTCTTGAAGTCGCGGCACTTGAAGGGTCCCACAGGGATTCCATGGAACCAGTAGCCGATGAGGACTTCTCCCTCCAAGTTGATCCCGCGCCAGTAACCGAACCCGTGCGGTCTTCCGTGGTCATCCAGCTCTCCAATGTAGAAGATGATGTAAAAGTTTAGGTTCCATTGCGTTGGCGCGTTCTGCTGGGAGGTCCCTGTCCTCCAGCCACATGTACGTCTAACACGTCCACTACCTCGAACACTTGTCCCGCTGCCATGTCCCCCCTCGTCACGCACCGAGTCGGAGGCGTTCCGCCTGAAAAAACGCCTAAAAAGGGAGCAACGCTCTTTTTTAATAACAATGTTATACCCAATGGCACTTCTCGTGTTACTCTCCAAGTCGTTCTGCGTCAGGTCTTCCTGTTTTTTATAAAGAGAATTAAACATGTAGCTGTTCATTTGATTGAGGTAGTACGCATCGATATTGTTTGGTACCCTGAACTGAATGACTTCCTTCTTAACTATGGTGTAGGAGCTCAAAAAAAACGTGTCCAGGTAAAATTTCAGCAGATGAGGATAAATTAATTTGTGGTAAGTGGCATACAAAGAAACGAGACTCAACAGAATTGTGTAGACCAGTAAGTTCAGCGTGTCCATGTAAAACACATCATACACTCTCTGCATATGAAGATTGAAGTAGTCCTTTTTTTCAAACACCTTTGCTTGTGCCTTAGCAATTCCTTCCTCCTTTTTGAGGAACATAACATTAGCGTAAATCATAATAGGAATTTGAGCAAAGAAGAAAAACATAAATAATATAGTTAGCCTTCCTGCCAGCAAATAATTAGATGGGATACCCAACTTTAACAGGAGAATGATACAGACCAGCAGAGACACATAGCAAATGGATTGAATGATCCCATCCATGTCATGTACATTCAGAAATAAATTCGAATCATTGTACCACACAAGGTTGGTATCATTTGCTTTTTCACTTGGAAGAGTACCACTAGACGTGGTTAAATTTGTTGATACTTGTGTCATTATTTTTACTACTAGGGCATACAGGACGATGTACGTGGCGCATTTCACCGAGCTGTAGTTGTAGAAGGTACCCATGTACTTCCTCAACAGCTCCCTGTACTTCATAAATTTTAAGGTTTCACCAAATCCATACACATTTTTATCAACATGCGCATTTCTTATATTTATTACATTCCTCAGTTGGTCTTTATACGTCCTTTGTGTTTTTTTTTTTTTGCAGGACATTTCTCCAATTTTTAATGCATCATTTTCTTCGCTTCCGAACGTGACATATCTGTTGCGCTTTTCTTCGGGGACCTCCTGAGATTCGTCTCTTTTGTAAATGTACTTCACGTAGGCGTTTTCCAAATCGCGGCGCTTCTCCCTGTTGGTTAGTTCGTCTAGCCTTATCTTCATTTTGTCCACGATGGGGATGGATCCCTCCCCCTTCAGCAGATCCGTCTGATTCGCCCCCACCCCAACGTGCACTTGTTGCTCAGTCCTAGCGCCTCTTGGATGACGCCTTCCCCCAGAATTGTTCTTGCTCAGCACCGTGCCGGGTTGGAAAGTGTGGGACTTCAAGTCGGGGATAGCCATTTGGACGCCCCTCAAATCGCTGTCGAAGCAGACGTCCATGTTGGGCCCGCCCGCCGCTGTGACGTCTTCTCTCCTCAATCCACCCCGCCGTCGTTCATTTTCTCCACCCTGCACGTTCACCATTATTTCGTTATTGCGCTCGTTGAACAGGTCTCTATTTTTTGATCTGCATAAGAGCGTGTCTACACTGTGGCACATTCCGTCCTTTGGGAGGAACTCTTTCTGGCGAGGCGGGCGATCATCCCCGTGATGGGCTCTGTCTCGTTGTGATTCCCTCGAGGATTTCTTCCTCCTTTTTTCTTTACCCTGAAAATCCTTCCTTTTATTCTGCCTCAATTGAAATCCACCCGTTTGTCTTTCCCCCCCTGCTCTGCCATAGCCCTGCGCCACTACATTACCCCCAATTTTTTTCTCCTGGTCCAGTCCCACGCACGAGAGACAACTGGTGTCGTAAAACGGCGTCGACACGGTATGCGCGCAGGAGAATGACTTTCGTTTATTGGCACCAAGGAGACTGTCTACTCCAAGGGGGATACGAACATCTTCGCTCGTCAAACTGAACGAATTTAACTCGTTAAAATGAATTTTTACAAGTTCATTGTTCATTTCTCCAATGGGGAGAGGTTCTTTTTTATGGGTACCTATTTTCCCCCTTTGAAAGGGAGAAAAATGGGTTCTTCCTCTACTCGGCTTGAGATTCTTAGTTATTGTTCCCACCTGGACGTAGTCCCCCCATTGTGAGTGGGCAGTGCTTTTCATTAGCCATCCATCTGCATTATTATCATGGGATAATGTGCGTCCACTCCCTCTTTTGAATTCCCCGCTAACGCCTCCTCTAGGATTAATCGGAAGTACCTTCCCCCTTTTCTGCACCTTCAATGGAGGTTTCCCCCCACGATGGTAATAACCATAAGGCGTCTTTTTATTCAGCCTCTTAATCTTTTTTATTTTTCGCTTTTTTATAAATCTTTTTTTTAAAATTATTTTATCATGGGTTCTTACAAGTGGTGTGATGACAGTGCCATTTATTTCCCCCCCTCTTTGATTACAGTTGTTCTTTTTATAAAGGGGGAGATTACACATGTTCGTGTTGTTCGCCTCTTCCTCTTTGGAGGAGTGTCCATCTCTGAAGCAAGTGGACTCTTCTCCATGTGTGTGACTTCTCTCCCTTGCATTGCTGCTGCGGGGGAGTCGAACCCATTTGAGTTTCCTTCCCTCCTCGTCTTCCCACATGTCGTGGTGAACATAATCAAAAAGCAGCGTCCTCACATACTCATCACTTTTTATTGCTTTTACATTTTCATTCTCTACGTAATTTATTCCTTCCTTTAAGAGTATGTGTGCTACTCTTTGCTCCTTCGTGAGGTTCCACTTGCTGGGGACCCTTCCTCCGTTGTGTGTTTTTACTTTGATCGGGTCTCTGTGGTGGCCCATGGCTTTTGTCCCTGTGTCATTTGGGTTTTTTTTATGCTTGGCTGTGCTTATTGCATCGTTGTGTTGATGCGTCGTTGCGTCTGTGCTCACGTGGGGAGGACTGTCTTTACACTATTGCGTGTCACCTGGGGGAAAGGTGGTGGGGTTGGGGGAAGGGGTCCTCCTCCAACGTCTTTCACCAGAGCTAAAAAAAAAAAAATTACTTCGACTCGGGTAAATATAATAAAATCAAATTAAGCACGCGCAATTGGCAGAGGAGGGGAGAAAACAGGGTAGCAAAGAGAACAAAAGGTTATTCAATCAGTGGAGTAGTAAACCCTGATGCTGACAAAGGAGCATCCCCTAGAGGCCCACACAAAACAGAAGTGCGCCTTCACAAATTGAGTCGTACAAATTACAATGTGCTTTATAACACTTGATGGACATGTCGACCGGGGGCCCCCCCTTTTTTCTGGTCCTTCTACATGCGTGGATGTTGTCCTGCACTGGTCCTATTAGACACCCCACTATGTGGTTCAGACGAAGGACTCACCTCTACAGCTGTGAACAGGTAAACCTTAAACGCATGGAATGCAAATAGGAAGGAAAATATACAAATGTTTTTATAATCGCACATGTACACATGCGCAGTGTTGTCTCGGTTTGGCTCCAGCTGGTTCCGCTCTCTTGTATGGATGCAGGGGGGGGGGGGGGGGGGGTGAATAGAACGCTCATGTCACGTCAAAGGGGTCGATTCGAATAAGTAACTGCTGTGAAATTGTACACGTATCAATGCAGCGCCCTTATGATGAACCTTCCTTCCGGTTGGCCCCTCCACCTGTGCCGCTGCTCTACGTGGCAGTAGGAGGATGAAAGTTCGACAAGTGTGCGCCGATAATTCGCGCAGAAACATTACACACGTATTTGCAAACACCTGCACGCGTTCAGGTCAATGTGGCCTACGCGTCTGCCCCAGGCACAAAAGGTGGGTAAAAAAAACAAAAAAAAAAAAAAGATTTGTCCACGGGTGACCCCAATTGTGCGATAAAACGGCTGCACGAGCAAAATATCAAACCAACAAACGATAAGACGAACGAATGAATAAAACAAAGGTATCGCGAAATCTGTAGAGGGGGAAAATAAAAAAAAAAAAAATTTACACCGCGTAAGCCAATTGCGAAAAATGACCGAGTGTTCTCACCGGGACAAAACAGTTTGGTCATTTACATGCAGCGAAAAAGGTGCTTATAAATACGCCTTAACAAATCTTTTCTGTTCCATTCGCATGAGGTGTAGACTGTGCTGGGGCGGGGGAAAAAAAAAAAGAAAAGAAAAACGCATAACCTGTGCAGCAGCTGTTCTACAGTTACAAACCGAGCAAGTTACACGCTGCGGGCTTGGGAAATTTTCCCTTTCCCCTTATTCGTTTCACCCTTCGGGCATTGTGTTTTTTTTTTTTTTTTTTTTTTTTTTTTTTTTTTTTTTTTGTAAAGGGATGTATTTCCCCCATTAAGTGCAAAAAGGGAATGGATGAATTAAAAAAGCGTTATCGGAGGGTGGGGGTTGTTCATCCGAAATAGGCTTCACCAAATGATTAGTCAACATGGGATCCAATTCCGAGGTCACACCGACACCTCCCCTTTTGCCAAAGAAGACTCTGTGTTGCACACCACCGCGTGTAGACTCTGCTGATTAAATTTCCCTCCTACCATGTGGATAACCAACTTGGCGATTACAAAAGGGGAGAGGGATGCAATTGTGCCACATACAACATACCCCCCTCTACAGGGGTAAGACAAGTTTTGTTCACGCCAAAAAATTAAAAACAAAAATGGATTACATAATAAGGGGGTGCGAAAGGGAATGACGGTACATGTGGGTGCGGTTGACAAAAAATTGGTGTATTCGGTGAAACAGTTGACGTGGGACAAGATGGGGTAGAAGAACGAAACAAAAAAAAAAAAAAAAGAAAAACACCACAATCGCAGACATGCACGCAGACATGCACGCCGACATACACGAACACACACATGTGTGGGTACAGGCGCTTACACAGCGCTGGGCGCGTAGCCCGCCCGTCCAGGTAATTTCCGCCTCACAACTTCGCTCCTTCCACTGCAGCAACGTCCGACGTGTTGCTTTCCTCCTTCGTTTCGGAGGACGCTATGGAGCTGTTAATGGATCCCAGGTCGGCATATTCTTGGGGGTCTCCTTTCCCCCCCTTCGTGTCTCCCTTGCGCAGGCCCAGTGCAGACGTCAGGGTGTATTCGGAGGAGTCGTCCGATTTGCTATCGTCGGAGGGGTTCTCATCGAACAGCTCATCGTGGGGATCCCCCCCGTGTGCGTTTCCCCCGTGTGACTGCTGCTGTCTCGTGCCGCCCATCACCACGTAGTACTTCCAAAGAGACAGGTACTTATTATAGTAGTAGTACTTGTAGTGGTTGACGTTGGTGACGTATTTAAAAATGAGAGAGTAGAAATACTTTTTGGTGAGGGCGGCGTCATTTCTCCGTTGGACATGGAATAGGGCTCTGCGGAGGTTCTTCTTCTTGATCAGGAGTCGGAGGAAGGCCAGCCCATACGTCCTAATCAAGTATGTCTCCCTTTTTTGCCTCAGCGTTTTATGAATCAGGTCCAATCTGTTTGAACAGGTTAAGGTGGCACTCCGCATGAAGCTAATAATCTTGTGTTTAATTATTTTTTCCTTCTTAAAGCGAACAATGTCATAATTTTTTTTTTCTATTTTAATTTTGTTAATGGAAAAGATAAGGAGGAAGAAAAATTTCTTCACCATATTACGATTATGTCTTTCCCTGAATTGGTGACCGTTGTCCGCCAACCGGCGCGCAAGGAGGGACTGTTCACGCCAGTAGGTAATCACGCGAGCTGCTATCTTCTCTTGTACACTCTTATAATACACGAGTGAATTATACTCACAATAATTCATCCACTTGCGTTCAAAATAAAAGTGCTTGAGAGAAATTATAAATTCAGATTTTCTTCTATATGTTAAAAAATCATTACTCAAATTTTGAAGGTACTCATTTTCTTTCGAGTAATTTTTAAAGCGAGTCCATTTGTCTAAGCACCCCAGCAAGGCCCTCCTCTGTCTGCGGCACTCAATTGTCTTTTCACATAAGCGCAAGTGATTGTTATAAAAAAACATATTTGTGAGAATGAAGAAAATTGTTCTGCATTTGTGAAACTTCCTTTCTATTGTGTACTTGAGAAGCAAATTGTGCAAATTCATTTTTTTTTTTTTTTTTTTTTTGTAAGCTAGCAATAGGGCAAAATGACTTTTTTTCATTTTTCGTTCCTTTCCTTTTGTGAAGGTCTCTAATTTTATTCTCACCTCTTTGCAGTGAAGAGCATACATATTGAGTGCTTTAAATGCGGAGGATAACAACTCTGTTCTGCAGGCCAATGCATATCCTATTTGTTTTTTCACAAAGGGAAAGGATCCCCTTGCAAGGAGGTTGTACTTTTCACTCCTGTTTCGCAAGTCAAAGTAGAAGCAGAAAATATTCTTCGTGTAAATGTTACATACGTACATATTTAATCGGTTTATGAAGGAACAAAATTTAAAATTGTGAATCCATATGAGGAAAAACTTTTGCATGGATCGCTGCCTCCTTCGTGTGGCAAATTGGTATAAACTCCTCCACTTGTTAAATACAATTTGTACTACCTTATTCCTCTCAAACATTATTACGTCGTGAATTTCCTGCAGTTGTTTCTTCCTTTGTGTGTGAAGTAGCCACCCATTGAGGCTGCCGCTCAGCAAGTGTGTATTCCTCAGGAAGGTTAGCCTACACACAATACTCCTCACACGTTTACGCGTTCGGTAATGATTCAGCCACAGGGAGTAGTACCTTCGTAAGAGGGTCTTCCCCCAGAACTGCGCACAGTATATATAAATCCTTCTCTTGTTAACCCTCACCAATTTATTCTCCTGCAAGATGGAAAACATTTTTCTCTTCACTCCGAGTTGTGTCTTTCTAGTGTATTCCCTAAGTGAGACGTTCACCAGAAACCTTCTCCTCAAATGACGAAAATAAAATTGCAGGGTATTTTTTCTTCTCCTTTTCTTCACCTTTTTGTAATGGTGATATAACATCCATTTTGCGAAGAACCGCTTTACAAAAGAGGAGTTCCATTTTTTTATTTTCTCTTCATGTAGTTTGGTATTGTCTAGGAAGTGTTTTACCCACTTGTGGAAAAAGACTCTTTTTTTTTTTTTCATAACAACGCAGTAGTTTTCTCTACATCTCTTTCTCTTCCTGTACTTGTCACTCCAGAGTCCAAACAGATGCTTCATTTGGGTAAATCGCACCGAGGCACAAATGTATAGCTGCAACTTTGTAATCGTTGTGTTTCGCTTAACAAGGTTGTAGTGCACGAGGAAACACCTCTTCAGTGTGGACACTGCTCTCCCCTTAATAAAATTGTAGTACTTGAATTTGTGAACGGCGTAGGAGAAAATCTTCCTGAACAAATGTTCATTAAGTGTGCGAATGAACAGCATATATATTTGCTTCTTCGCGTAGATGCCAAGCCATGAGTCAAAGTGACATCTGAGTACTCTCCTTTGCATACGAGAGCGTACCAGACACCCTTTTTGTTCATATCGGTACAGTAACAACCATACATAGAAGAAAGTTTTTTTCCTTTTTTCATTGCTGTGTTTCATTACAATAGAAAAATTCCTTTTCTCACTCTTCTTCGCCACATGCACAAAAATAAATTTTTCCAGATAGTCCTTCTTCACCCTCCTCTCGACTTGCTCCTTCAGTTTAACAAATCTGTCCTTGTCGTAGTTCCCCACTTTGATTAATCCATGCCAGTAGGAAAACAAAAATCGGATGTGCTTCTTCAAAACTTGCTTCCTTTTTGTTTTTATTTCTTTTACCTTATAGTTGTATGATAGAACCCATATGCCAAAAAATTTTTCTAAAAGTTCTTTTTTTTTTTTTTTTTCCATGGTGGCTACTCTTTTGTTATCCTCCTTCTTATGTTGACTCCTTACTAGACTGTAATGCTTCCACCACTGCGTCGACCTCTTCAATCTGCTAAAGAAGAGGTGCACTTGAACTAGTTTGTCTTTACCTATGCAGCACATTAAGGAGAAGTGAACACTCAGGGTGGTTTCCTTAAAACGGGTTGCTATGCCACTCTGTAACACTTTAACAAAATGAAGCAGGTTCCTTTGCAGGGCGCCGCTCGTTAGACGCCTCATCTGGGGGGTGCGTTTCATGGCGGTGTTGGTTCCCGTGGAGAAGGCCCTATTTCTCGAGCTCTGCGAAGAGAGGGACGTGTCTCCCTCGCTGCTGCTTGGAGTTGAGGATCTGCCTCCCCCCCGGGCGCACGCCTCGTCTGCAGTGTGTACCTCATTCGCAGCGCGCATCTCGTTGGCAGCGTGCATCTCATTCGCAGTGGTTGAATATTTGGCTGACTTAGCCGATTTTGCTGAGTTAGCCCATTTGGCCGCTGCCACCCTTTTCTGGTCCCCTCCGAGGAAGGCGCGCGTCTCGGCGAAAATCTGGAGAGCCCTGCTTTCGTGTGAACCACCCCCAGGGGAAATAGACCCCCCCAGCAGGTAGTAAATCAGCAGCAACAGTTTAAAATTGGTATTCAAATCAGCATCCTTCCTACTAACAGCTTGGTAAAAATTGACACTCTTATTGCTTTTGAAAATCTTCAATAGCAACTTCTTCGTTTTGAGGGATAGGAAATTAAAAAAAAAGTGATACAAAAAATTAAACTTCTTCTTGAAGTGATTGAAAAAGGTATGGATGTCCTGGAGGTCCCACATGAGAAGGTACAAAATGATTAGTCTGTTCATGGTAGTGTTTTTAAGAGAGTAGCATACCTTTTCGTAGGTGTAAAAATGGTTGTTCTTTTTCTTCAGTCCCTTCCCACTACAGGGGTAGTTTATCTTTTCCCTTCGTCCGATCTGTATATGCATTCGGTTCATCGCAATGAGTGTGTTAACTTGTTTGTGTGTGTTCCAGCTAGTTAGGCGTTTTCCCATGCTCACGTCACCACCGATGTTGTCCTTCCGTTCCCGTTCGCTGCGTCCGTTACTTCCTCCACTTCCTTCTAATGGGAAATTGAAATCGGGTGTATCTCCCACATCGTATCTGCGGGGATAGTCGCCTATCGTTCCACCCTTGCAGCTGCAATTCGTCCCTTTGGGGTCCACTGTGAGGGTGGCGCACCCACCATCAAGGATCTCCTCATATGCGGGCAGGGTATACATAGGGGGGTAAAGCAGCATGTGTATCCTGTGCACTAAGGCGACCTTATTGTAACCATTTTGAGCTCTCACTTGTAGGAGAGTAATGAAGACACGAGCTTTCTTCTGTAGCTTCACCGCATTGTAAAGCTCCTTGTGGAGCCTCTTCCTGTTCACAAAATCCTTCCACGACAGGAAATGCCTCTTGCGAGAATGCAACATGCGGTTCGCATCTGCTCTGAGCAGGATTGCATCCCTCCTTAAGAACAAATCGTGTGACCGTTGACACATAAAACGCAAATATTTTTTCTTTAACAATTTGGAGTAGAAACGATTAATTAAGTCCTTTTCCAATTGAGTCTTTTTACTTTTGGCTAGTCTGTCCTTCAATGATTTAAAAGCAGTCCTCATTATTTTCTCACGTCTGTCTTTTTGCAACTTTGATAAAATTTTCTACACAGGGAGTAAGTGTGTGTGTGTGGGGGGGATGCATGAAAAATAATAAAAAAAAAAAAAAGGGCATTATTGAAGTAATTTTTTTGGTTGATTGTACATGGGGGGGGGGAAAAAAAGCTCCTCTCATAACGAACCTCACGTATGATCATGATTTTCCTATACGCTCTTATTTTATAAACACCCTTTTTATACATCTTAAGTCTTATGAGCTCATCCATCCTGTGTAGAAGAAGTAAGAGGTACCTCTTCCTGTTGAGTCTTCTCTTAATTTGAAAAAAGATAGCCCCTTTCAATCTGTTCGCCTTTTGTCTTTGTATTATGCGGGCGATTTTCCTCTCTTGCTTGCGTTTCGTCAGGAAGGCCATCCTGGGGGGGGGGGGGGAGGAAAAAGAGGCAAAACAAGGGTGGCAGATGGGTGCACGTTAAAAAAAGGGGTCCACTCAGAAATGGCCACAGCGTGACATGTGTGAGGCCACATATGAGTCATCACCACCTCACCCATTTCCTTTTTTTTGTTACGGCCACAATGGAGGCCTTACCAGACGAGGAAGAAATGACGCCGCAATCTACTCTCCCCATTAACCCTAATGGAATAAAAACTAAACTTGGCCCTTTTAATAAATTCAAAAAAGTGAAGCATAGCGTTGAAGTACTTTCTTTTCCTGTTAAGAGTGACCAGCTGGTACCCCTTCCTTAAGGCACTTTGTCTCTGACGATGTAACTGTAAAGCTGAAAAAGCTCTACATTTTAACATGGAACACAAGAAGTGTGTGGCCTTTCTATTCCTAACTCGGTTACTCCAATTACGTTTTAAAATATCCCAAATTTTTTTTTTCATTTTGTCTTTTTTTTCTACTAAAAAGTTGGTAAGCGTCACTTGAATGTTCACGTAGTAGAAGCTACATCTGTACACAGCGACAAACGCTTCCCTTTTGCATTTTCTAATTACATAAGTGTTTGTTGCATGGATAAGACGTTTAATATGGCTAGACTGTTCACATTTCCTCCTCCAAAAATAGGTCACCTTTCGTAGCATGTTCATATTTCTTATATGCCTAATTGATTGTATTTTAATTTCCTCTTTTTTTTTCCCTCTTACTTTTTGGTACTTTTTCTTCCACTCTCTGTAGTACTTGCACTTTGTCGCTGCTAGTCTCTTTTCAATTATTTTTTTTTTTTTTATCTCGAGTTTAGATTGTTGCCTCCATTTCTTTAGCATCCTCTGGCATGTCACCACGTTGGTGCGGCTCCTCAGGAAAAGCTCCACCTGGGATGAGGAGAACGACAAGACGTAAAAGCGGATTAACGTTAACGTGTTATTTGCTTCTTTTTTTTACATATATGCGAATGCGCACATGGGGTGACACACACAAAGGTCTAGCACACGTGAAGGCAGCTCCTGTGCAAAAGTTACCCGCTTCATCTTCTCACTGTAGAGCAACAGACCGGAGAAGTAAACCAGGCACACCTTCCTCGACAAAATTTTCTCCGTCTCCTTTAACCGCATATTCAGTATGAAGCGCGTGTACCACTTGCTAATGACCTTGAGCTTCTTCTTCCTGCGCAGGTGAGAGATGCAATCAAATGGGGTGTGTCCATGAGGAGGCTACTTACACGAATTAACGAGGTATCCCAATCCACACCGCTTCTCACAGATGGAGCCTCGAAAAAAGCTCCCGCCACTCTTTTTCTCTGTCTGTCTCTTTTCAAATACCTGCTGAAGAGGTTTATCATGTTGGAGAGAAACGCCTGCTTGTTTCTCCTCATTTGGACGTAGCTCTTCCACTGCTTGAGGAACTTCTTGGCGAGGAGTTTCGCCTGCACGCGCTTCAGGTGGGCGATCTGGGGGTGGTGGAAGGAAGGAATTGCGTTGCGCGGTGGCGGTTGTAGTGGCGACGGCGTGCATCATGCTAGCGCGTGGTGACCCCCCGCATTTTCTCACGCTGCGCAAAAAATTACCTTCCTGCGCCTTATATGCCGCAACCGCACGTAGATAAAGAAGATGTTGAAAAAGCGACGCTTCACTTTCAATTCCAGTTGGCTGAGCGCGGCCCTCATTTCCTGGCGTCTGTCTAGGAATGCCCTCGTTAGGTGCCGCCACCTTCGAACGCACATCTGCTTTAAGTACGACTGTGCAATTGTATTCAGTGCATTAAAGAAAAGAAGGTTCTTGGAGTACATGAAGAGAGCCTTGAAAGCCCTGCTCTTGTACTTTCGCATGTAGTAAAGCTTAGCTATTTTTTCCTTAACTTTTTTTTTCCTCCTTTTGTGTACATGTTGCACTAGACAGTTGAACACCTTTTTCTTCTTTCTCATCAGTACCGACTTGAAGAAGAACAAAATTTTTTTTTTTTTGTCCCTCTTTTCCCTGCTTATACTGATCCAGCCTTGTATAATTTTTTTCATTTTTTTTTCTCTATTTCGTAGGCCATAACTTTGAAACTTTTTGCGGAAGGTGTAGTATTTCATTCGGAGGGACAACCAGGTGGAAAAAATTTTATTTTTCACCTGAACCTTCCTTTCCTGGTCATACTTTTTCTTCGCCTCCTGGAGGGCTTTCTTTTTCTTCACGAGACCCCTCAAACGGGAGAGACAGGCCCTTTGGAGCGTCATTCTGCACTCCGCCCTGAACCGCTTGACGCGCATACATTCGTTTCGCCAGGTGTCCACGACACGTTTATAAATTGCCTACGAGGGGGGGGGGGTGATAAGGTGGCGTGGTGTGGTGCAGCGTTCAGCAGCATGGCACCGAGTACCCATGCCCAGGTCCGCTCCGCATGACGCATCGCATGTCGCATTCGCATGACTCATGGCAGACCGCTTGACAAACCCACTTACCATCTTGAGCGCGAAGCATAGGTAGGGCAAGTTGTGGCGCAGCTTGCGCAGACTGATGGCGAAGGGCACGGGGACGAAGGAGGAAATGATGTTCAGGGACCTGTAAACGAACATAGCGTTGTCGTACAGAGTACCCACATTCGGCAGGAGCCCCTTCCCCACCAGGTACTTCTTATGAATGAAGACAAAATTATTGAGGTTAAAATTTATGTTTGAAAAATTCACAACGTCGAGAAGGGTTTTCCCGTTGCCTTCTGAAGAGAGCAAGCGACACTGCAGCAGAGCCTTCAACATAAATAGGACAAAGAAATTCCCTTGGTCATTAAAATGGTAATAATGAAGAATGTCCTTCCTGTAGACTCGCACATATTCCAGCCACCTGGACAAACTCCGCTTCTTCACTCGGTTAAGGAAGTAGCTGTGCACCTGTTCAATTGAATCCTTTCTCCTCTTCCTGTAGTTCTTATAACCTCTTAGCAGAGTGAAGCATCGAATGATTAGCTTATACTTATATTTACTATACAACAGGATATACTGCGTGGCATGGATGGTGTAACGTTTCTTCCACTGCTGAAACGTACGAAGTAGTTCCAGTTGGTTCCTTCTTTCATAAAGGATTAGAAACCTCTTCTTCAGACTAAATGATTTATCTTTGTGTCTTTTAAAAATTTGAAAAAATTTTTTTTGCAGAGAATAGCACCTTTTTTCCATATGCTTGCTGAGTATGGTCCTGATTCTTCTCGTCTCATGTAGGGTACAAACCCATTTCGTAAAATATGCACTGAGGGTACTTGTAGTATTTTGTCGTGTGAGAAAGGTGTATGTCCTTTTTACATTTTTCCTCCTTTGCACATATACTTTGAAGATTGTAAAAAACTTGTTCAAATGGGATTTCTTTACCTTTTTAATATACCTCGAATAGTAATTCTTAAAATATATTTCTTCTTTGTATCGACTCACCAGGAGGGAGAAGTACAGTTGGCATGACTTCTCCTTTGTATGAAGACTAACCAGATGGAAGGATTGTCTTTCCTTCTTTCTCTTCTTATGGTACAAAGAAAAATGCACGTAGCACTTGATCACTAAATTTTTATTGTAGACATTTTGTATTTGTTCATTTTTTTTTTTTTTTATTAATTTTTTTTTGTATCGTTCTTTCCAAATTAAGAATTTTTCTTTTTTTTTTTTTTTTTCCAATTTTTGCTTTGTCCTCTGCAAAGTCCTCTCCTTCTCTGCATACGTTCTCCATTCACTAAAGATATGAACAAGGTAAATAAAATTTTTTTTTTTTTTTCTTTTATATTTGCACCTCCATATATTGTACTGTTTTCGCACAAGATTCTTATTCCTCTTTTCTACCATTTTTTCAAATATTCCTTTTATATAAATTTTTTTTTCATGTCGATATAACCATAGGTCGTAAAATTTGGCGAGTATTTTTCTGCTGTACATTTTGTAATGCTTGGCGGCTCTGTTCCTTAACTCCTTCTTCTTCCTTGCGTAACATACCCAGTGTCTTTGAAACTTCTTCAGCGTCTTAAATGTAAAAAACACATTCCCCTCATTGTATAATTTCACCTTCTTCTGAACACTCGTTGTCTTTTCCATGTGACCACTGCCGATCCCCCACCCGACCTTCTTGCAAAGCTTGTCGTACAAGTTACACAATAATTCTCCATTTAAATAAATTTTTAACAAATTTCGGTTATTCTTGTGCATGAATGACTTTTCGTTTTGCTTCGGGTCGGTGTTGCTCCTCGCGTCCACGTTGCACAGGCTCATCACATTGTTCATGGGCTTGCCCTTGAGTTTGTTCTGCGTTGTTCTGCTCTGCATTGTTCTGCTCTGCGCCGTTCCACCCTTGCTTGTTTTTCCCTTCGTTGTGTTACTCTTCAGCGGCACGATGCTCAACTTTCTCGGTGAAGTGAGTTCGCATATGCGTGTGGTTTCCTCCGCGGGCCCCTTCCTCCTCAGGTTGGTCATTTTGAGGGGCGCGTAGGGGAAGCACTGCTCACGCGAGGCGGGCTCGCGCCGGGGCCGCACGCGGCACACCTCGACGGATTCCTCCTGCGGGGGCAAGCAGCCGTACGGTTGGCACTGTTCATAATGTTTGTAATGGAACACGTTTTGCGAAGCGGAAAAGACATCCTGCATGCTGAGGGGGCTGCTATCCTCTAGCGCCATGTCTTGCATGTCTTGTCCCTCCTCGGCATCGTCATCGACCTCCTCCCCATAGTCGTGCACCTCCTCGTGCACCCTCGGGGGGTACTCACAAGGGACATTATCGTGAATTATGTTTTTACAGATAATGATTAGCTTGTTAAGGATCTCCCCCGAGAGCTCCTTCGTGGTACTGTACTTGCGCGTCACGTCATAATACTGTTTCATGATGGTCGGGAAATTCAGCTCCTCATTGTTATAGTTACACTCATCTGCGGACCTGTATATAATTTCTTTTATTATATCGTTGGCGTCTTCCATTATTTCAACATGTGTGTAACTGCGCTGTGGAGTTGCAAAAAGAGGGGGGGGGAGTGGGTTTACCCTTGGGGAGGATTCTCTCTCCTTTGTGTCGTCTTGCTTGTCCTTTTTCGCTCCTCCCCACCTTTCTTTTGGTTCTCACTCCTCGACAACCTCACCACTTTTTTTTTTTTTTTTATGCGTCTTCGTATCCAGCCGTCTTTTCCCCTCTAGGCTGACCCCTTCATTTTGGCGCACAGGGAGCGGCAAGGTAACTCCCTTTTAATGCGTGAAAAACTCCCCTCCAAGTAGTGTGGTCTGGGGGGAGTGACACCTCACAAAAGGACACAAAAAAAAATGACTGACCATTTTTATGAATCAGTTTCAAAAGTAACAAAAGGCATATAATTTCTCTTTCGCGCAAGTGCAAAAAAAAAAAAAAAAAAAAAAGGGAACATATTTTTTACGCGGCTCTTTTTTTTGGGCTTGCTTTTTCTTTGAACGTCTGTGGGGAATACTTTTCCTTCCACCCCCCTTTGAGGTGTTTCCAATTTACCCCCTGTAACCCTCAAAAATGGGGCAAAAAAAAAAAACTTATTTTCCGTTTCGACAATGTGTACTTAATTTTCATACTTTTGTGAGATGAGCCCCGTCGCCACCTCCCACCGAGGGGGGGGGGGTGCGCTCTCGTCGCACCAATCCGTTTGACCAAATTTTCCCACCACGCATGCCATTGTTCTCCTTCACCCATCCTAGCACATTTTTATTTCTTAATTTTTTTTTTTTTTTTTTTTTTTGCCCGACTTGGCAAGTTTCCACCCCATTTGCGTAACTTGCTAACTTTAAAATTGTTCGCTCTCCAAATTTACTTTTTTTTAGTTTCCTCTCTTCAGATATATCACACTGGCTGTGCTCTCCACCCCCCCAGGCGAGATTTAAAACAGAAATTTTTAACAAACGGGTTGACAAATTTATTATTACGACCTGTAAAAACACCCATTTAAAAACCTGCAGAGACTCTCTCACCCCCTCCCTCTTGGCGACGAGATGGATTTTTCTCCCCCCCGCGTAATTTTCCCGAATATATATAAATGATGCCGAAAAATTGAAAAAGAAAATTCTAAAAAAGGGAGAAGAGGCCAACCTGCGCACTTTCTTAGGGGGCATACAAAAATCTCTTTCCTCCTTTTTTTTAACTTTTCCCATAATTACCAAAAGGTGGCATACCCCCCCCATAATACAACTTATAACTTTTGCGGAAATTTTCCTTTTTTTTCTTGTGGGGTAGGAAAAGTCTCTCCACTTTGCCACCACCACTTGACGGAGACTAGAACGGGGAACAAGTTAACTTGTTCTTTTTTTTATATTTTTTTTTTTTTTTGTAAGCGCGGGGATGTTTACCTCATGGGGAGAGATAAATGTGTACATGTATGGTGAGAGAAGTACCGCGTCCCACTTTTTATGTACGTGTGCGAGGGGAGTAGTAACGGCGTAGTACCCGCATAACATCCTCACAAGTACCTGCGTAACGGACGCCGCTACCACTACCCGTATCGCTACCACCCCCCCCCCCACAACATGCACAGCGCGCTCCTAAAAAACGTGCACGGCCAGCTGTGCAAAAGCCGCAATGGCAGCGGGAAATCCTGTCAACAGTTGGTGCGCTTGAACCATACAGAAGGGGCACCCCTCGGCGCCAGGGGAGTTAGCTCGGTTGGGGGCTACACTCACAACTACACACGTGCCTGCACAGACCATCATGGTTCCCCCTACGTGTGGCAGTTGACCCCGGAGTCCTCATTTTCTCACCGGGCAAACATTTACCCCGCCACGTGGAGTAGGACCTTCCACACATTTGGAAAGTATGGAGCATGTTACAGCCTTATTCGCGTAGGGACATCCAAATTGGAGCACACCATGTGGGCCAACCATATGGCCTTTGCCACAGGCACGAAGAACAAAAAGGTCGGTAAGGGCGCAGAGGAGAAAAATGATACTACTAGCAAGTACGGAGCACATGGCGTACGTACGTCGACGGATCCACTCAATGAAGATATAAATGATACAAGCGGAAAGGAAGGATATCCTTATGAAGGAATAGAAAATATGGGAAAAAAAAAAAAAAAAAAGTCAAAATTGAAGCTACTAGTATACCTGTTTAGCATTTCCTTCGGAGGATACGTCAGCTACAAAGTGTATGAGAATGACATGAATTTGTCCAAAGCAGAAGAGAGCATAGTTAAAGATTTGGTAAACCTAATATATACATATGAGGAAAAAATGAGCAAACAGAATTCGAAGTTCATGACCTGTTTGAGTGAACAGTTAAACAAACAAATAGCAATGTACTTCCTCCAGTTGGATGCAGACAAGAGTTCAGGGTTCCTCATCAGTGACGCGTTATCATTTTTAAGTGACCTGAATATAAAGGAAGATAACGCGATTGTAAAAAATTTTATAAAAAATGGGGTCGGAAAGAATATGGAAATGAAGAAATTGTCTGGGTGTTCTCTACAGCAATTTGCGGAACTCCTGGAAAGCTTAATTCTTGTAAGCAAAACGAAACAAGAAAATGGCTCCTCACAAGGACAACTACAAAATATTAGCAACGACGATAATTATTACCTCAATATGCTACAGACATATTTAAACTGCGCAGTAAATATTGTTAAGACCTCCGACTTATATTTGTATATTCAAATGAAGAAAAACGCAGCATCCTCCTCTCCTGAAGGAAGTCACGACGGAGAACAGAAAGACGATTTAGAAATGGCCATCCTTAATAAGCTCACCAAGTACAATGACAAATATGTACAAAAAGAAAATCTCACTCTGGAATATTTATTAAGCAAGGAGGAATTATCCAAGTTTAAAAAAAATGCCAACATGTCTAGGAAGGAAGAAGAGAAGGAGTTACTCCTCATCGAGAAAAAAAAACTGGAAGAGAAAATACAGCTGCTCTTGAAACTGCAAGATAAAAAGAACTTAACGGAGACGGAGATTAAGCGCCTGCAAGATTTGAAGATCAAACTCAGGAACGTTAAATATACAATAAAGAAGGAGGAGCTGAAGAAGTACTTCCAGTGAGGGGACAAACGCGGGCGCGCCTTTTCTCTCCACATGCGCAGTGTAGACGAACGTAGAGGTTGGCACACGTTTGCCGCTTCCCTGCAAAGCGCATATTCGTGTTATTATATATATATTTTTTTTTTTCTTCTTTGAAATCGCATCGTTTTCACCCCTGTTGTGATTAGCCACGGGAGCTGGGTTAAATTTTTTTTGTTTGCCCATGTGGCTTCCCAGTCAACATTTTAAGGCATTTTGTTGTGAAAATTGCACCTCACGTTTTGCATTTTTTTTTTTTTTTTTCTTTAAGTGACGTGCGCTGCGTCCGAACCTTTTTAAATGACACTTGTTAGGGGCACCCCGATAGCTTTACTAAAAAAGGGAGATTGTGCTTTACACACAGATTCCCCCAACACTTATGTGTGTAACGGTGGTGTGGGGCCGAATTAGCGGCACATACACATGACATGCACATCGCCCAATGGAAACACGATCGCTGCACAGTGCCGTTGCCCCTTTGTGATGAGTTCACAAATGGGTCTGGGGGGGTAAACAGAAACCTGGGTCTCCAGCGTGGAGTTAGCATACATTCGGGGGAAACCGTGCTTACTTGTCCCCATTTATTTTTCTCTATTAGTCATCAGGGCAAGAGGTGCGGCAAATTGGGAGGCACAAATGGGGGGCTGGTTACTCATAGCCATACACAATAACGTTGACTCGTTTGTAATGAAACGGGCCGTAACGTGGAAGCGGTGGGCATGATGGGGGTAGTTCCCCCGATTCGTGCCTCCCAGTTTTCCCTGCTTCTTCATTTGGCGTGAACAGTTGGGGCCATTTTTGCGAATGTAGTAATTCGTTTGGGCTGCCCACAGTGAGGTGTACATGCGTATGCGCGTTGTAAACGGGGTTAATATGACAAGAGGAATGTCGCCCAGTGCAAAAGCTACCCAACTGCGCGGAGGCATAAAAAAAAAAAAAAAAGGAGACTGTGTGAACGAAATCCCCGACGTGGGAAACACTCGTATGAACATACATGCACACGCACACACCAAAAAAAAAAAAAAAAAAAAAAAGAATTTCCCGATAAAAGTTGTGGAAGCCTTCGCTTCAAAAAAACAACACAGTTCTGCTACGAGACGGAGTGTGACATTGCCTCGTAAAATTGTAACAGACTTTTTCCAGCTTTTAAAGATTTAATCCATTCACCCAAATGTGCATTCAATTTTTCACCTTGCCTGTTCAGGTAAAAAAAAAAGTTTGTGTACATATCTGTGCAATTTGTCCATCAGGAAATTGCTTCCTTGTAAAAAATGCACATTGGCATGATTTCATTTTTGTTTGTGTTTTCTTCATTTTTATCTTCGATCAATCTGAAAATACATACCTTTCATCCTTAACTTTATCTGCCTTTTTATGGCTATTTTTTTTTTTTTTACACCTGGCCATTTGTGCGTTTTCATTTTTGCATTTTTTTACCGGTCGCCCTTTTTGACCTTTGCCCCCACTTGGGTGCCGCCCCTTCAGGGATCACTCAAGATTGAGGCTATTTGTTTGACTCTTTTTTGCGACATTTTTTGCAACTCTTTTTTGTGACCCCTTTTTGCGACATTTTTTTTGCGCAATTTGTTTCGCTGCTTGTTTGAAGCATTTGTCTGTGATCACGTGTGTATATGCTCGTGCGAAGGGGCATGCATACCCATGTCTGCACATGCCCACACGCTTCACATTGGCTGAGCGTATGCCCTGCTGCACGTGCCCCCGTGTCGAGTGAGAAAAACCATGGGATACGTTCATCCCCGGAGTTGTGGCAACTGTGCGGACGCAAGTAAAAATATATAGCTGCGCGGTGGGACGAACTTTTTCTGGTCAGCCCCATCGTTTACGCGCTGATCTGCACGTCGTGTTAGTTTACTTGTCAATTGTTAATGTTTGTCAACGTCTGTCACCACTCTTTTGTCACCACGCTTTTGTCACCACGCTTTTGCCACCGCGCTGACGACTCGGGTAAGTCCCCAAGATGAAGCAAGTGGAAAGTTCTAAAAGCAAAGGCAACTGCGTTGGACCTGTCGCGTCGTGCCCCCAGCACGACAACTGCGACAAAGGCAATGAAGGAGGAGGGAGACTCAAAAGAGAAAAAATAAAAAACATTTGTAACAAGATAAATCACCTCAAAAGAACAGTGTGTAGTTCCACTGACTACTTTAAGTGTGTGGAAATATTATTTCAGAAAGCCGGATCGAAATGTGATGTCCCCAAGAGAAGGAAGAAGCATGCCAAGTGTGGGGAAGGGACTGTTTTTGCCTCCCCAGAGAAGGGCATATTTTTTAAGGGCAAAATTAACCACCTCGATTTGTTTGACACCCCGAAGTTGTGCGCCTTTTTTGAAAAGCACGCGACAGAAGTGGTCCAGGGGGCGGTCCACGCGGAAGACCATTTTGCAAAGCACAAAGATACATTAACGAATGGAAACCAATTTGTTTGCTCCTTAAGAGAAGAACCTTTATTTGTACAGAAGACTCGATTACCAAGCGGAGGGGAAGTACCTGTCCAGACATTCCGACTCACCGGGAAGGACTCAAATGGTTGTAACAAGGAGTGGGACAAATTTATATGTAATGCGAACAGTACTTGTACTACCAATTATGCGCATCAGTCGACATGGATGAATTCTGGTGAGCTTGCCGGACAGAGCTTCACCAAGGAGGGAAAGACAGAAGCAGACAACGCCCCACAGGATAACAAAAGGAAGAACAAGCATGTGAATGATGCAGGAGATTATTGTAGCTTCAACAAGAGAATGAAATTAAGCGAATGCGAAAGGGACGCAAACGCAAATAGTGTTTCACATGAGCAGTTACAAGTTGATGCTGCTCACTTCGCACCAGGGCAGCACGGGAAATGGAACGATTCACCGCGTGGCACGCGCATGAAATGGGTGATGCAGGATGTACCCACTTCTTACCTCCAACAGAGAAGCACAATCACTGAAGAAGGGCCTGCCCGAAAAAAAATTCTAATGCTAAAAGTTTCTAGCATCATGTTCAACCATGAGCAGGGAACAGGGTTCCATTTGAGACCTGGAAATGGTGCATTGAAGAAAGGGAACCAACTCATCACACCGGAAAATCTTCTTGAGGGAAGAAAGTCTAATCAGTGTCATGACGGTAATGCTGCTCATATGATACCTGTACCCACTGATGAAGCAAAGTCAGGATTGACCAGAAAGTTCTTTACAGATGATGAGTTGGAGGACGAACTGCAAATCAAGGAAGACATTCAATTCGTATACAATTTGTTTTGCATTTTGGCTGTACATATGAACTCTCTCTTTAGCATGTGCACCCAACTGCTTCGCTACAATTTTTCTGACCTGGGTTGCGAGAACAACGAGTTGTCCAGTGAGTCGAAGAGGCTCATTAAACTTATACGTGATTACCAGAGGGAGGAGAGATTCGTCATTCAATTTGCGAAATGCATTTTGAGCGTTCGTCGGGGGGGAGAAACATACATAGGGAAGGGGTCTAACAAAGATAATTCTCAACGTGGCTCAAAACCCTCACGCAGAGGAACCATAGCCCACCTTGAAATGAAGACCCTGAAGAAGATAATCAAAACTCTCCTCAAATGGGAACAAGAGGACGAGAACATTCAAATCATGTTAACACAGAACAGAGTGCAGAACCAAGCAAACACATTTAAAATAGAAATAATGAATCATCGGATGGTGAAACAAAACCTCGACATGAGGAAACTCTATTTTTGCAAGTACAACGGTGAGCTGTTGGCCTTTTTAAAGAGACTCTCCACGGTGCATTCTCAATCCAATTGGGGTTCCACTGAGGGGGAGAAGAATGACGTAGAAGGGATTCACACAAGAATGGACAAATTGGAAGGCGACACAGCACAGGAAGTAGCACCCCAAAATGGTGTTAATGTGTACGTAAAGTGCGTTGCCCCAATGTGGAAGACCACAAAAGGGGAGACCGGCGAAGGGATAAGGAAAGGGATCGAATTGAACGAAGATGCAGAGAAAGAATTAGGGATGGGATACAAAACAGGGTTATGTAAAACTACGGACATTTTTCATTCCACTAATGAAAGTAATGATGGGTGTTTTGGGGAGGACCAATTCGAAGAGGGAGCAGACAACAATAATACCCCCTTGGAAGTCCTCCCAAATGGGCAAACCAACCTCACCACGAACCAGGTGAGCGTCATGCTCTATCTGAACAAAATATTAACAAACGAAATTAGACACAGCGAAGATTTACGAATTCGTGCAAAGAGGGAAGTAGAACAAACGGAGATTCTACTTTGGGAAGTGAAAAGGTTGCAAGAAATGTTAAGAAGAAGTGGTACCGATGTGAAGAATAGCAGAACCAGTGAAAGGGTTCTATACAAAATGATGCAAATGGAAACAAGAAGTGCAGAGTTTTTCTCTCACCAGGATGGAAAAGATATGCACTTAATGGAGCAAACAACTTTCGATGAGAATGAAATGGATCAAGCCATTTGGAGAAGGGACACCGAATTATTCAATGTAACAAATGATGCCCATGATATGGGAGGAAATCCCTCCTGTTACGTTTCAGCGGAGGGGGACAAATGTGTGAAGAACCGTTTATACCACCTCGATGATTGCACAAAGGGGGACCTAATTACAACGCTACCCCCCAATGACGGAAACATATATAAGGTGAGACACATGATTGGGAAAATTTTTGATCAGTTGGTCAAGTTCTACGTGAACAAGTCATACGCCAATGCTTCCCATCCGTGTGATAAAGATGTTACATCTAAAATAGATGTAGAGAAGAAGGGGGGACAGCAGATACTGAAAGAATCGATTGAACCCACGGAAGGAGTTAAGAAACTTATCGAAGAATTAGACAAGGTGAAGAAGGAAAATTCTCAATTTGCAGAATTTTTGGAGAGAGAAAAAAGGCTAGCTGCCCAACTGGGTCTGGAAGTAGAAAGGCAGAACAAAGCTCTGATGGAGATGGAGTTGCAGTTGGAAAGTGAACGGAAGCGGAACGAAGAATTGAAGGTGCATGTCGAGAGGGAAGAATTGGTGAACAACGAGCTTTTGTCTCAGATGGAGGAGGAGCGCAAGGTGGGCTCCGAGGCCAAGGAGAAGCTGGCCGAATTGGCGGCCGAATTGACCGAAGTGGCGACCGAGTTGGAGAGGGAAAAGGAGAGAAGTGACTCATTAGAGGCAGAGCTAGCGGAAGAAAAAGACAAAATAATATCACTTGAGACGGAGTTAGAGAAAGAGAGGGGCAGAGTAGCTTCCCTTGAAACGGAGTTGGAGGGTGAGAAGGACAAAGTCGCATCGCTGGAGGAGGAAAAGGAAAGACTTAGCGCCATGAAGGAAGAGTTACAAGCCGAAAGGGAAGCCAGCGCATTGATGTTCGCTCAGATGGAGAAACAGAGGGAGCAACTAACACAGCAAGAGGAGGAAATGACAAAAATGAGGAAAAGGTTGGAGGAGCAGACGGAGAAAAGTGACCCCTCTGAAGTGAGCCACTCGAGTGAGGCCACGAACGAATTGGGGGGAGACAAAAAGGGTGTATCCTCACTAGGAGAGCAAAGTGATAAAGAAAGGATGAAGCAAAGTGATAAAGAAAGGATGAAGCAAAGTGATAAAGATAGGATGAAGCAAAGTGATAAAGATAGGATGAAGCAGAGTGAAGGGAAAAAACTGGAGAGGGTACCCCAATCAACAGACCCCATGCAGTACGGACAGCTATACGATGAGTTTGTGGAAACCATGGTTGAGAAGGAATCTCTGGAAAAAGAAAATGAACTCATGATGAATCATTTTAATGAACAGATAGGAATGCTTGGAGAGCAAGCCAAGTATTTTGACCACAAGATAAGGCACTATAAAAGTTTGTGTGAATCGTATGAAAGGACAAACATGCAAGTAGGTCAATGCATGAAGAGGATGGAGGAAATGATTAAAGAGATTGAAGTGTGTCCCGATCTCAGTGATGTTAACTTGGAAGAAAAAATAAATAAAATTAAAAAAGTTGCAAATGATATGAAGGATACATATGCAATGGAGGAAAAAGTCGGCACAGAGAATCTCCTCTTTGATGAAATCATAATGGAAAAAAATATACTCATGAAAAAAATTTTACATTTGGAGACTGAAATAGAAAGTCGCATGGGGCAGACAACGGGTGAAGGACAAGTGTGCAATCGAATGGATCTTCCAAATGAAGAAATGAGAAAATATATGGAAGAAATGAATTTCAAATCATTCAACGATCTCTTTACTTTTCATTTGAATATCCTCAATGAGCTAAATGTTACGAAAGAATGCTACAACCAACTCGTGGAGGAGAATCTAATGAAGGCGAGGGAATATCAGAGTGAGATTGCTCGTTTGAAAAAACTGGTCAAGGACAAGGAGTTCGAAATTGGTGTCTCCGATGAAAATTGCAAATCGCTTTTACTCGAGGTGGAAAATTTAAAATTCATTCTAAATGACTTGTTCTCGTGTGGCGGTGGTCGGGTGCGCGCCACTCAGGAGAACAACTCGCCAGTGGTGCAGGACTTGCCTCCATCCGTGCAGGAGATAATAGAGCACAAATTGTCTCCACACATGCGGGAGTTGTCTCCACACATACAGAACAAAGTGGAGCAGGAATTTCCTCCAGCCGTACAAGAGAGAGTAGAGGAAGAATTGTGTCCATCCGTACAGAAGGAAGTGGAGCAGGTATTTCCTTCAGTGGTGCAGGAGTTGTTTCCGGCCATACAGAACACAGTGGAGGAAGAGTTGCCTCAAGCCGTGCACGAATTGTCTCCAGCCATGGAGCAAATAGTGGCGCAGGAGAAAGTGGAGCAAGAGTTGTCTCCAGTGGTGAAGGAGGGAGCAGAGGAAGAGAAAGTGGAGGAGGCCTCGGTTACCTCTGTTCTGGAAGAGGAGTCCATCGTCGCCCAGAACGCGTCTCATGTGGTCCCCAGCGAACCGCAGATGTTGCCGCGGGAGGTGTCTTCCGTGGCGGCCCCTCAGGAAGATGCCCCAGCTGGAGATGTCTTATCTTCGGTGGCCTCAAAGCCCGCCAACGACACCTCCCTGCAGAACAACCCCGTATCGGCAGACAGCCAAAATGGGAGAAACGCCCGAAGCGGAAACGCCGCCGCAAATGCAAAGGGAAGAAGGGCAACGCCTAGGAATAGAACCACTAGGGGGAAAAAAGCCACTAGCAAAGGGGACACCAAAGAGGACGGCAAAGGAGCGAACACTGGGGAGAGGCAAAGTAGGACAGAAACAAAAACGAACAAAGGCACGAGTGGAAATAAAAACAGCAGAGGGAACAAGAGCAGAGCTGGGAGCAAAAGCGTCCAAGCGGAAAGCGGCAACACGAACAGCGGCAACGCGGGAAAGGGCAACGCGGGAAAGGGCAACGAGGGAAAGGGAAACACAGGAAAGGCAAACACAGCAAAGACAAACACAGGAAAGGGCAACGGGCAAAAGGGACAACGCGGGAAGCGACCTGTTCGTAAACGATAGTGTGCCCGAGGAGGGTGGCAGGGAGGACCCACAGGAGGAAGTCAGCCAACCTGCTACCTCCTAACTTTGTTACTGGCCTACTCCTTCCTTGCCTCCCCCGCCCCACCAAGAGATGCACTCACATGGGCATATTGCATAGTGGTTCATCATGTTGTCTTTTTTTTTTTTTTCTTTTTTGTCACCATTTTAACAAATCATATGACGAACTTATAAAATTAAAAAGTTAAAAAAAAAAATTCACCAATCGGGTGATGTGATGCTACGGATGAATTATCTCTCGACGTACTGTCTTTGGGCAAAGGTGGTAAACGGCTACCCGGGTAAGCATTCACCCTTCTTTATGTGATCCTTTTTGGCCGTCTTCCACGTGACAGATGTTGGGAATCCTCCATGAAGGTGTAGTATGCCTAATGCCTTCCTTGTGGTTAAGATTTTTTTTTTTTTCCTTCTAAACGTTGTCATGCAGGGATGGACTCCTTTTTTGTTCCCCCACATGGCTCACCTCGAAACAATGCTTATTTGAAGTAGACACAGATGGGAATTTTATTTTTAAAAATAAAGGGGTTCATCATTTCCAAATGGGCGGTGGAAGTTAACGTAGAGATGGTGCACAAACGTTGCAAAAAAAAAAAAAAAAAAAAAAAAAAGGGGGACAAATTTCGTCACCACTTGATATATTTTTGCCCCTTCGTTAGCAGGTACCTTTTTTTTTTTTTTAAAGATGCCATGCGCACACATGTGTCACTGCGCTGGGAGGGGGTCGGATAATCTGGTTTAACAAAAAGAGGTCCACTGCACAATGGGCCGGACGGACAAAAGAAAAAAGCTTACACGTTAAAAAATAGCATATAAATGAAGATGGGGAAGCACATGCAGAGGTTGTCCAGGGTGCCTCCAAAGAGTTCCAGCAGGCTGAGGGACAATCCTAGGAGGAGCGTGTGCATGTAATTCTGCACGTAGTAGAGGGACGCGAGCGACACGAAGAAGCACGTTAGAGTGCCATGCAGCTGCAGGGGGGACGGGAAATGAAAAGCGGTGAAGAGGTGAAGTGGTGACGCGGTGAGTGGCCAAACCGAACTGCCGGCACATGACAAAACGTTCAACGAGAGACGGTGGTCCTTTCTACCACCCCACTCAGCAGACGCACCAGCACGCGAAGAACAGTGCACTAGATTGTGTCCGTCGCCGTACCGTTTTCTTCTTGTATATGGAGTAGGTGGGGAACTGCTTGCCCACGATGGCAGCCATCGGGTCAGCAAAAAAGATAGGAGTCAACACGTACAGCGGCAGTTTGAAGAAAAAAAACAGTGACACCACTGTATTATAAATAATTATTCCTTTATCTCGATAGACGCCAAATCTGTGATTAGTGGGAGGGGAAGGAAAAAGAGGTGGACAGGTGATCATGTTGCAGAGGCGAAGGGCCACATGTTTGCGAGGGCATGTAAAAAAAAAAAACTCCCACGGGAGAATCGCGCAGGGCCATACCTGAATGGACATACAAAGCAGCGGATGATAGAGGTAGCAGCTATTAAATAAATGAACAGGACGCAGTGGTTTCCGTCCCCGGTGTTAGTAATATCATTCACTTGAGGAGACCTTCTACTACCATTTATGCTAATGTCAAACAGGAGGATCATTAGGCCGCATAACATATGGGCTAATTTTCTGCACAGGGTGGGAGGGGTGAAGGGAAAAGGGGTACACATACATATATATACATATATATATATCATGTGCGCGCTCGGCTTTAGCCACACCAGTGCGACTACACCATTTGTACAATGCAACAGCAGCCATGCAAGGGCAAAACGTTCAGCTCCTTCCGACCTGGCATAAAATACAGGAACCTTCTCCCATCGGTCCAGCACCGTCACAATTGCCGCCACCACAAGGAACAGGACGGTGCAATTCATTTTGCGCGTTTTGTCCTTCACATGTGGGGGGGGCAGGAAGCCAAATGTGGGCTGCCTTACAGGGGAGAATTATAAATGGGGACTCCCTTTTTTATTATCACATGGTGTGGGGCCCCCCTTTTTTTTTTTGGCTCCTTATTTCGCCCCTTCCCCCTCTACTCATTCTCTTCACGCAAGGCAAAATTTATAACCACCTGTCCTCGTCGTGGCATAATCGGTTGGTGATCTATCCTTCCCTCGCAAATGTATTATGACACAGTTGAGTTGGCCACGGGGGGAAACAGGAGTGGACCCGCGTACATGGCAAACGTGAGCGGGAGAGAATTCACAAACGTATTAGCGGCAAAGCTATAACAACTGTTTGTAGGTCAACTCCCTACGCGCAGAATAGGGATGTTGAATAAATTTAAAAAAAAAAAAAACATCCATAGGGGGTGGTCCAGCGGCGTACGCAGAAAAAAAAAAAAAAAAAAAAAAAAAAAAGCGTTGTGTAATTATCTATACGTTGATTTTATAACAGCAGCTTTATGCACTAAACATGAGTGACTTTTTTTTTTTTTTTTTTCTCCGTATGCCGCTTCACCACCCCTCTTTGCAAAGAGGAGACTACTAACCCTTAGCAAAGTCACGAGCCCGTAATAAATAAGCACTAGAGAGGAACAAACCGGGCCAAGGAAAATTACGGACGCATGAATTTTTTTTTTGTTGTTTATTTTCCCCCTTTTGGAGGAGTACTGAGAGGGAGAGAGACCGAACTTTAGGGTGGACCGCGCATGCACCACGTGTGTCCGTGAGTATGCCGCCCTCCCCGGGATGAAATCTTAAAGGGGAGGCAACGACAAACCGATCCCAAGTGCGTAGAAGCAACTGAGTTGGAAGCGCATCTGGGCGGAGACCCACCGCGACGATGGCGCACAGCGATGACTCTCAAAACGAAAGGGATGAAGCGAATTACAACACCATCCTGTATGAACAGAACCTAAATGAGGAGATAGATTACTACGGGGAAGACTTGCCACACATAAATTTTTACTTGAAGTTTCAAAGGAAAAACTTTTTGCAGGAGTTCCTCCAGGAGGTGATGATGCTACCGAGTAGTGGGGTCAGATCGGATGGTGGTGAGGCGGGGCAAGACAAAGAGACGGCCATCCCGGTGGAGGAGGAAAAGACGGAGAAGGCTTCTATCCCCGGGGAGGAGAGCAGCCGCGATAATGCAATCGCACGGGATGAGGCACTGGATGAGGTGTTGAATGAGGGGGGGTTCTACGTGGAAGACGACTCCGGGGGGGAGCAGGGACTGCCTTATGAGCGACCGCTTTTGGAGCGACCTCATTGTGTACCCACCGCACAAAATGACGGCGAAGACACCAACTTCAGGGATACCCTACTAAAGCTCACGCAGGGGACTGACTCCTGCAGTAGTGGCACCACCGACCTGATGCACCTAAATGAAAGCGACGAAGGTATAAAACAAATAAATGAAATTTTTCAACAGCATAAAGATAAATTCCTTTTCAGTGTCGAGAGGAATATTGAAGCTAACGGAGAGCTCATTCTACAAGAGTATTGCTTCCTGTGCAACAAAAAAAAAAAATTAAACAAACCCCTGTGTGAAGTAAACATATACATCTGCTACGATTGTAAAATGCTAGACAGTAATTTTAAAATGATATCCCTGAGCAAGTTGGTGAGAAAATATTGCCTTAATAATTATGACCTATCCAAGTACGAAAAACAGCTAGCTCTTTTATGCACAAAGAACCCACGTGGGTACTCCAAACAAATGAAACTCTATTTTGTTTTTCAAATAAAAGAAATTGCTATACGAAAGCATGGGTCCTTGGAGAAAGTGAAACAGATGTATACCTCGAAAGTGTTAAAGTCATTTAAGAATGCACAGGGGACTCCTCAGAGGACGAAGAAACGGAAGAAGGACCTGCACACGATGGTTAAACCGAAGAGCATTTACAGCAAGAAGGTTAAAGAGGCGGAGGAACAAAAAATCATTTGCGATGACAATCAACACGAGTTTGACTCGGCCACCTGCACCAACGTGGAGGATTCACTTTACGTGAAGAGGTGCAGGAAGTGCGCCTACCAGGTGGAGTACATGCAGTTCTGAGGGGGGGGGGAGGGGGGGCAGCGACGTGCGATACTCTAATTGCCTGCACATGGAAGTCTCTCAACACATCCCCGCATGTTCAAGCAGCCCGCCTTCCCCAGGAGCCTTTCCTAGCGGCTTACAAAGGAAAAAAAAAAAAAAAAAAAAAAAAAAAAAAAGGCAGCATCAAAAGGTAAACTTTACACGGAACACCACCCTACAAAAAGTGGTAGAAAAGTTTCACCCCGCGTGCTCGGTTTCCACCAAACGGTACCGCTACTCTCCACACAGCATTCGTATTTTCACTTCAAATCGTTTTTCTTCAAATAGCAGTCTAGTCAAAAAATCTTTTTATGTTATCCGAGGGCTCCTCCTTCAGGTTGTAAACGAAGGTATACCAGTCAATTATCCCTAAAAAGGGGGGAAAAAAAAAAAAAAAAATGACTAAATGACCCCCCCACTTTGCACATTTCTACATGACCAGGTGAAAATGTTCAACACTGTTCATTTTGCGAACCATCTGACGGGGCCCACTCATGGATTTTGCTTATAAACTGATCCCTCGTTAGCTCGGGAAAGTCGCTAAAGGAGGAAAAGACGCATTCTATAGGGGGGAAGTAAAATGGGGAAACACATGTGCGGGGAATAAGTAAATATAAATTATCGTACGGATCCCCCAATTGGGAATCCCTTGCCACATGGGAAACCCTTCCCACTTGGGCAGCATGAAAAACCGTGGTGCCAATTATTTTTTTTTTTCTTTTCCCGCACTTGTAGCTGCATATCTTTCTTCCCTTTTTTTCGTTGTCCGATTTACACTTACGCATTGCATCGTTCGAGATGGGTTGCTCGCTCACGTAGTCGTTAATAATTTTTAAATTAATTTTGGCTCCCGTGTTGGTGCCTGCATTAACACCTTTGTTTTTGTTATTGCCCTTGAGGAACTCGCTAATTTTGCGGCAGCTCTCTACGTACACGATGGGGGACACTGTCGTGGGGGGTAAAGCGGTTAAAGGGAATGAGCTGGGTTAAAGCGAATGCGTTCGGTAAGACGAAGGAAATGGGTAACCACTTTGCAGGGCGTGGCTTACACCCAGGGGACTCACCCGGGATGCTGATCGAGCCCTGGTTCTTTATCTGCCCGGAGTTGATGGTCAGGGGCCACTCAAATTCAGCCTGCCTCAAAAAGTTCTTAAAAGCTTCGAAATTTATACTGTCCTTTTTAGGAAGAAATAATTTTTCCCATTTTTTTTTTTTGGGGATATTTTTGCTGATCTGTATAAAGTCGTTGTTGTGTGAAATGACGTGGCCAAGGAGCTCCTGGTCGGACAGACGACCGAAAATCTGCAGTAAGGGTGAGGTTACAAAAAGAGGTATGCGAACACCGGTGCTGCTTCAAATAATATTCCCCATCTTACTCAATCGCAGAGGGGTGTGCAGCCACAACCCCTTTTCCCTCTAATTTACCTTTATTATGTCCACAACGAGAAATGCAGACGCACCGGGGGGAGAGGGCACACGCTGCCTAACTCGCCTTAACCTAACGAGTCTCTTCTTTATATGCAGGGAAATATTTTTCCGGTTTGTCTCTAACGTGGTGTTGCGTGAACTCCTACTTAGTTTGTAACAATTTTGTGAGTGTGTACTTTCGCTACTTATTAACAGCGTACGTAGCATAAGTGTGAAGAATAAAATGGGAAGGAGTATCTTCGTCGCAGACATTTCTGACTTGGAGTGTGCGGGTTCGCTCTGCTCTCTTCTGCCTCCTACTCCAACCGCTCCCTATGGGTAGCACTTCCCCCGTTATATAGCCCGCCCCTCAAATCTACGTTCACTTGGATGCCATGCACCTATTTCTCTCCCCCCCATCAGGTGTACTCAAAGAAGGAACTAAAGCAAGTGCATAGTCGATTGTAGAGCTCACAATGGGAAGAAGCAAAGAGGATTCACACGGTGGGATACATAGTAACGTTAATTTTTTTTTTTTTTTTTTTTCTCCAAAAATGGCCATCAAGTTGGGGAAGCCGCAAATAGTAGTGCTAGTAATTTGCAGTAGCGTATCACACAGGAAATGAAAAAAGAAAAAAAAAAAAAGTTTCACGCTCTTTTTTTTTTCTAACTTCATAAATGTACGGAGCAATTTCCCCCCAACAAGTTACTATAAATTGAAGTAACCCCACACCAAGGGGTGCTACGACACGATTTTGCCAAATGTGAACACTAAGAGGTGATGGGGAAAAAACAAAAAAAAAGTGCTACCGCCAATTCGTTCAGGTGAATTTTTAAGGTCTTTCAATGGGAACATTTTTTTTTCTTTTAAGTTTCGTTTTCCTTTTATTTTTGAAGCTGATTATTACATTTTGAGACGAAGCCGTAGAGTCACGATCAGCCGGGTTGCAAAAGCAGCACCATGACGCTATCACCGCCACAAGAATGCGTACGCATGACGTGTTTGGCACTTGCCTTTTGAGCGCTTAATTAAAAAATTTTAAATGACTTATGTAAGTTTGCTACATATAACACTGTGAGATGGAACAACGGGGTATAGTTAAAAAAAAAAAAACAAAAGGAGAAAAGAGAGCAGTTAAAAGGGAAAAAGGAAGAAAAAAAGTGTTATGCGAATATACACACTACGCATACGTATATATGAGCCAATGCTCTTGGGTGAAGAGTTGCAAAAACTGCGGGGAGCTCAACGCGGACGGTGAGCTGCCACATGTGCGCACATCATATTTCTGACTTTCTCTCTCCACAAGAGGGGATGTGCTATGGAGTTTGTCTATATCATTGCTTTTCCTGCACATTGCATATATTTCCCTAGCGGGGGTGGTGCTAGGAGGCACGCGCTTTTCATTTATCTGGCCTTTCGCTTATCACCGACCTTCTTAACAACCTTTTTGTTATCAGTTGTAGTCTTCTTCTTTGCATCCTTAGCTGTTGCTTTTTTCTTTTCCTTTTTAACCTTCTTCACCTTTTTCTCCTGTTTTTTCTTTTCCTTCAATACTTGTCGCACACATTTCTGTTCCTCAAAAAGGAAAGCTCTCATGATTCTTTCCCGAATGCATTTTGCGCATATGGAACCTCCATAGGCTCTGGAAACTTTTCTATCCTTTTTCTTGGCTCGGTGGTTGTCTGCTGGTCGCAAGGCCTTAACCTACATTGTGTGCAAAAAAAAAAAAAAAATATATATATATGTACCGTTCATAAAATTATGCACAAAAATTGGCGAAAACTATTATGGTTGAAATAAAAAAATATGAACTGTTCAGGTAAAAAAAGGACAAAAACTAGCCAAAAGGGGCAACATTTCACGAACACGCAAAACATACTATCCCATGAAGTTATACATAAACATGTGCATGGGAAAATAGCACGACATGGCGTAACACTTATTTCTCTCTCGTTAGTCTCAAATTTAGGGGAGAAACTCGATATGCATTATATGTATCCATGTGCATGTACACAATATGCCTCATCTACTTTGGCATTCTACTTTCAATCATCTCTCCTCCCACGCTGGCTTTCGTGTCAGCCACGTGGCTTCTTCCTCTCGTTGCACTTACCCCCTGAATGGGCATTTTGCAGTCGGCACATTTTGGCTTTCCGGCCTTCTTCTTCACTACATGGATAGTTAACTTGCCCCCGGGTGTCCTTACGGGCCTCACTTTGTTCGACTTTGTGTTGTAGTGATTGTGCTTACGATAATGAACTCGTTGCGCCATTTTGAATAAAGAGATATGTTGGGGAGGGAATACAAGTTTAACAAAAGGAAGGGTTCCACAAAAATGTTGCGTAAACACAGGGGGGAAAGTCTTCTCCTTAACTAGTACAGTAAATATGAGTGTTACGTAAATTGCGCACGTGAGTAGGCACGTAATATTATTTTATATGATTTGTCGCGCGACTGTGTCAACTGTGGGATGGCGGACGAGCCAAACTGGTAAAAAACTCGAGGAAATGAGATAGTGATTGGAAATGGCAATGACTTAAGTTGCTTACGCGCGTGAACATAAACTACAAAAATGCGAACGGCGCCTAACGCTTATCTCTTTATATCGTGTGATTGAACATACGGATGAATAAGCATGTCGTAAGTTGCTACCTCTGTTTTTTTTTTTTTTTTATGCTTACAGAAAAAAAAAAATAAAAATTTTCTTTCTTCGCAGTTGTGCATAAAAAGGTCATAATAAGGAGTGATTGATAAATTCTTTTTTTTTTTTTTTTCCAAATTGGCGAATTAAAAAAAAAAAAAAAGGAAAAACGTACACGTAAATGACGTACAAAATAAATGGGGCTCTTCATATTCCTCCGCAAGTGACTCTAATATAAAGCATGGTATTTGTGCGCATTTATTTTTTGTGCATACCGTTTTTATGAGCGACGCTTCGCTGGCGTCGGCTCTACCGCCTATATACTAACTGGGGGCATGGCTTATAACACCTCCCCAAATGGGCATTTATATTTCCATTGAACAGGTGCTGACGTTGCCAAGCCACGCTACCCCTTGCACTCATCGCAATGTCGCCAAGCAGGTATTATATTATATATTATGCGCTAAGCGAGGGGGGAGTGGGAGGAGGAAAATATGGACTCACTGAATATGCGGCATACGTTGGTGCGCACATGCACGTTTTTGTTTTGTGCGCAATGTTTTTCCTTCCTTATTGTGGGGCTGCCTTCACTGTAGCACCAAGATGATGGATGCAGCCCCAACGCCGTTAATGCAACACCCGTTTAAGTCATACTTGTATTCATCCTGACGACAACGCGGCACAGCTCCCCTTTTTTTTTTTTTAAATGCACCAAGCTGCGAAAAAGGGTATATATCGCCGCCCATGTATCAGCAGGTGATAGTCGGGAAAATGTCGCTGCTGAATTGGCACTGCAGCCCTACGCTACCCCTCTATACCTATATATAATATACCCATTTGCAACAAAGCCAAGGGTAAAATTCTTAGCTGACACAGGAGGGGAACAGTATAAGCCACCTTACCTCACGAGTTTGTTCTTAAAGGGAATATTTTTAACCATAAAATTTTAATAGTTAATTGAAGCATTTTTTTTCCCCCACTTTTGCAAAGAAAAAAGAGGTATGCGGTATAGGGGAATGAGGCCGAGCCCAGGTGTTGGGGGGAAAAAGGCTCGAGTTTTTAAAGGGGTTGGCTTACGGCGTGCTGCACCGTCACGGCTTGGCGCAGTGCTGCGAACGGTTGTTATGTACGTAACTTGGTTTGTCCAGGGATACCGGCAAAAAAAAAAAAAAAAGCCATTTTAGGGAAAGTCGCGGAGCAGTAAAATGGCGAAGCCAAATGAATAAAGTGTATATATTTACGCCCAAGACACGTTTGCTGCATCCCCCCCCAGGGGATAAGAAAAACCAACGTAATGTAAAAAATTGGCCGCTGAAAAGATATGCACCTCAGGGGGAGGGACGCCTTGTAAAACATAAAAGATGAATTTTTTCAATTTCATGGCGATTTTTGCCAACGGGGTTAAAATTTCCCACTTTAGAAGGAAGCGTGTCAATTGGGGGGATGGCCATTGCAGATGGGTATAAAAATGAACAATAAAAAGGTGCGCACACCAAAAAGGGAAAGATGAGATAAAGGTTCGGCATGAGTGGGACAAATTTTATACGAATGAAATATATTTCTCCCCAATTTGCCTCCACATAAGTCAGGAATAACTTCTCCACAGAAGTAACACGTTGTGTAACTTTTGCGCGCGAATTAACATATGGTGAACGACCACTCTTACAAAATGAACGGTTAGAATTTTTTCAACTCCTAATCGATTACACCCCCTCACAGCTTCTATTGTGCAAACAAATACATGTGAGGTATGAACATGTCACCCTTGGTTTACCAAGTGGGGGCCCTAGAGATCATCTCATTGCTAGGGGTAAAAAGCACACTGGCGAATTAGCGGGGCAATGTATGGTAAAGGGAGAAAACTCTCTCCCCTCGAGTAAATTGCCTCATTTGTGTAACACATATTTTACAAACAAATTTAATTAAAAAAAGAAAAGCGGAGTCTTATGTAAAACAAATGGGAAAAGGTGGGCATTTTTAAGGAGGAAAAAAATGGGCAGGAGGAGGATTGGTCAATCCGTAGGGGGGATATGGCCGTCTTAATGGTGAGCACCCCACCCCGTAGGCCATTTTCTCTACCCTGCATACCCCCTTTAAATGAAAAAAAAAAAAAAAAATTGGAGAAGCGCAATGACCGGTCTTGAGACCATCGCGCAACACAACTAGACATACATGTGCCTTGGTTTCTTGCTCACCACCGTGTCTTCCACCCCGACGGTAGTTTTGTAATTTTTTAAAAACACCAAGTACTTTTTAAAGCCGCTAGTAGCGTAGGAAGCCAGCTCCTTCTCGCGTGCCTCCTCGTAGTGGTCAAGGGGTAGGCACTCGGCTGTACAGAATTTACTTTTCATTTTATTTTTCTTCTTCTTCTTGCTCTTCTCGTGATTTGTTTTGCTAATTTGGTTAGTCATTTGTTTTCCCTTTTGGTCATTTGTCTTGCTTTTTTTGTTGCTCTTCTTATGGGCCTTTTTTTTTAACGCCTTGGGCATGAAGAGGTTATCATCGTTGTAGAGTTCGTCTTCAGACTCAGTTAAGGAAGTGTCGTCCATTGGACTCGATTCCCCTTTTTTCCGTTTCCCCATCGCTTTGGCCTCCTTCGCAGCTACGTTTTTTGCTGCCTTTTTTGCCTTCTTCTTTGTCACCTCTTTGTCCTTTTTCTTCGCCTTCTTCTTGGCCTTCTTCTTTTGGGATTCCCCCTTTGCCGCTTTACCAGCCTTGCTCAAGCTCTTGCGTACTTTCTTCGCCTCCCGCGCGGCATCCTCTGCGCGCTCCTCTGAGTGCCACCCTTCGGAGTTGACATTCCCTGCGTCACTACCACCCTCTTCTGTCACTTCTCCTTCTGCGGCTGCAACCTTCGTGGACTCTTCCTCCTCCTGGGGAACATCACTCATTATGCATGTCGTTTTGACTTTTTTTTTTTATTTTTTAATTTTTAATTTTTTTTCCGAGCTGTAACACTTTTTCCCAATCGCCAAAGAACAAAAAAAAAAAAAATAATAATATGCTTCAAAATGGCATAGCAATTTATACACTGCGCTCTGAAGCTACGCCATATTAATTTCGCAGTAAACCACAACTGGGATTGTTTCTTATATGGGACACTTTTTTTTCTTTCCACCGCCACTCTTTTTTATATATATAATGAAAAAAGGAAAGGAAAAAAATCAGGCGAAAAAAAAAAAAAAAAAAAAAAAAAGGGGAACAACTGTGCCTACCTAGGCGCGGTTATCCACGTAAGAACATACAAAACTGAACGGTTCTTTTTTTTTTTTTTTTTTTCCCCACCTGCATAGGATGCCTTTATAATATATCTTGCCTGTGCAAAAATAACGCAGGCAAAAAAAAAATGCCCACAAAATATGTATAACTTCCTCATCCACAATGATACATTTTTGTACATACGGTTGAATTAGCTTAAATGGGCTACGTGTTAACAAAAAAAAAAAAGAAAAACAGGAAATTCCCTTGGCTGTCTCAATGCGGGGGGAAGAAGCGGTGATATCTTCTTTTCGTCTTGTCCTATTCCCTTTTTTTTTTTTTTTTTTTTGGTGATTTTCCCCCATTATGCTTTCCCTACGCATAAGTAAACGTGTCCCCCCTGTTTGGTGGAGCACACCCACACCTGTTCTGACCAAATGTCGCTGCACAGAAAAGGTACCTGCAATGCCGCCACGTTGGCACGTTGGCACGTTGCCACCCCACGCTACAAAATGAGGATGACAAAAAAGGTGAGCACGAACAGCAGGGCGGATGCGGCAATTATGAACAGCGACATGAAGAAGGAAATGCTGTTGCTCTGCCCCATTTTCTTCGTCTTCTTATACACATCAGTTATGTTGTCCAAGTTGGACGATTGTTTGTTCGCCGACTCCTCCAGCATCCTATTGTCCTCCACAATTATGTCCCTATACGTTAAAACGTTTTCTTTCATTTCCTGTGCAAGTAGGCACAACTCTTCATCGATATTTTCACCTGACTTGTTCATATTTTTTCTGGATTTCATTTTTTTATGCAAATCATTTTTTTTAAATGCAAAGGAGTATTCATACAGTAGGTTATCATATTCGTCAATTTGCTCGCTCCATTCTTTTAGGACTTGGTCACTTAGGGTTTCCACTCCATCGTAGCTTGCTTTCCGCTCCGATTGGGCTGTTGCTGCGGCGAGGTTTTCCTTTGAAAAGGACTCTTGCTCAGTGGGAGCTTTTTCCCCATTAAGTGATGATTCCTCTTTATTACCCCCCCGCGTTGCACACGGAGGAAGACTGTGTGACGGGGGTTGCTGCTCCTTATCAACGGCGTTAACTTTTGAGGATATGTTCAAAGTAGCATCTACTCTTATGCTGCTGGCAGAGTGGGAGGTGGGTGCCTTTGCATAAGTAGTAGCGTCTTTATTGTTTGGTTGAGCGGAGGCACTAGGGGGGGGTTCCCCTGTAGGGTTATGCACGCTGCTGTGTCCCTGACCATCACAGTTGGTAAGGTTGACGGAGCTGCTGAGGTCACCATCATTTGTTCGAGTAGAGAAGATGAGCGGGGAAAGGCTCCCCCCCCCAGAGTGGACATCTGCAAGGAAATTGTCCCTCTTCTTCCGCAGAATCAACTCAAGACTCTCCTTCTTGTTAATAATCTTTTTCAAAATATCCTGTTCTGTTACATCGTCGGGGGCATTTATCCTATGCTTTAGCGAAAGGGAAAGGTCGACGATGGAAGACTTCAACTCGTTTAAGAAAAGGATAATTGCTTCCTGTTCTTCACTTTGCTCGTTAAAATTATCACATGTTATTTCAGTCTCCCGCAGGAACTCGAAAAGCTCGTCAAAGGCGATCATGTTGACATGCACCCTTTTTTGGGGGGAGGGATAAAGTGGGGAAGTGTAAAAAAAGGGGCGGGGAGGTAAGAAGAACTCTGCGCATTTTTCTTTTTTTATTCCTTTGCAGAGTCATCATCTTTGCGTCCTTCAACCCTATTTGGGGTTACACGTTTGGGGGGATAAATGCAGATGGCACTTACGAAAAAGGGAAAAAAGAATATTTTTTTTTTTTTTTTTTTTTTTGCCCCTCATCAGTTTGTCCTCCATGTAACGTTAAAAAAAGGCTTAAGTTTTACCTGTGCGGGAAAGAAAAAAAAAAAAAAAAAAAAAAAAAAAAAAAAAATGGGGCGAAGCAGATCTTGCAAAGTCTGCCCAACCTGGTGCCGCACACCACACCGGTGGATGCATAACTATATACATGGGGGAATGCAGCGAAAGGGGAAAAAAAAAAAAAAAAAAAAAAAAAAAAAAAAAAAAAAAAAATGGGGCGAAGCAGATCTTGCAAAGTCTGCCCAACCTGGTGCCGCACACCACACCGGTGGATGCATAACATAACTATATACATGGGGGAATGCAGCGAAAGGGGAAAATAAAAAAAAAAAATAAATAAATAAAAAATAAAAAAAGCACCCGACTTGATTGCATCTTGCTGCATTATGTAACCCGTTTCACTTCATCACACTTGGGGGGGTATGGTTTGTCACTTTTCGTTCGCGTTTTTATACATCCCCATTTGCGGGCGCGATGAAGAGGCTGGTGATGCAACTGCACCCCCAAGTGGGAAATGGCGGGCTTCAACCGAGGGAACCCTTTTCCCAAGTGCGAAGATGGAAAAAGTACATTCCCTTTTATGATGTTAAGAAGAGGTACAAGCAAAGGACAGGGAGTGAAGAAGGGAAGGAAGTGGAGAATATAAATTCAACTCGAAGTAATGGAGACGATACACAGTCCAGTTGGTCTAAGCAAAGGAACGTAGAAACGACTGCACACCATGTTGTGTGCGAAAATCTGGTCCCCCCAGTGTCCCCCATGAAGGGGTTAAAGCTGCTCCTGAGCTTCAAACATATACACAGCGGCTACCATTCCCCTACAACTGATGGCACCCCCATGGAAAGTAGTACATATCACAAGGAAGAAAAAATTAATTTCAATTTAATTATAAAAATTGACATTAAGAGAGAGTCCTTGAGGGGCATGTGTAACCTTACCCACAGTGTGGACAGGAATAAGAAAATACTCGTGCTGGTCGATGAGGACCATATCACTTTAAAGAAAGCAGGTGCCGATTATGTGGGGTTAGAATACATTAACAAAATAAAAAACGGCTGGTTAGATTTTCACATATGTTTATCTGATTTTAAAAACATGAATAAAATTCTTCCGGTGGCAAAAATATTAGGACCCAAAAAGTTAATGCCAAATGTCAAGTCCAATACCTTGGTTCATAATTTAGTAGATGCAATTCTGTCCATTAAGAGTGGTAACCGAATAGAGTATCGAAGTGAACAGGTAGAGCAAGAGACGTATGACTTGTTCAATCACATTTACCAATTTAGAAATGTGCATTTGGGTTCTATAGCTAACCTGAGTGTTAATATTGCATCCACTGACATGAACCCGTATGACACACTCGAAAATATAAAGTGCTTCGTGAGTGAAATTTTGAAGTGTAATGTGCACTCGAGTCATATGGAGAAGGATACCAAGGTCACCTTCACTTGGCCACCCGTCACTTGCAAGAGGAAGAAGAAAAAGATGATGCAAATGCAGGCAGGCAGTCCCCTCCTCGTTGGTGGGGAGCAACACTCCGAGTCTTTCCTCCTCGGGGCCTACATCACTGTACCTGGCGTCCCCAAAATATTTCTGCACCCGCACCTGCTCCTCCCCCACTCGGACGGCTACTCCGTTTAAGCGTGTAGAAAAGCAGCGCTTTTTGCAAATATAAGCGGATATCCCATTTGTACACGCGCACATCGCAACGAGGGGGAGCGACGTGTCGACTGACAACTGTCGACTGTGTGCCGCCTTTTTTTTTTCTTTTTTTTTTTTTTTTGTTTTTAAACGGAGCGGCTACGCGCAAATGAGTTACACCCCCGTGTGGACCTCCTACAACTGGGCCATGATAGAAAAAAAGGCACATACGTACGTATACATGCGCATACATACACGCGTACATATACGTACATGTTTGTAGAGACAGATGGGAAGACGTAAAATGGGGCGCATCGATGAGACCCGCTGATGGCGCAAACGTGTGTGAGGGGGTGGAAACGGGAAAAAAAAAAAAAAAAAAAAAATTTACATGTACCACTTTGCAGCAGGTACCACTTGACAATCTTCACATCCGCGTGGATATCGCTATGCATACCGTTTGTTACCCAAATGGGGACAATTTGTAGAGCTATCCGCTCGGGACGACAAAAAAAAAAAAGAAAAAAAAAGGAAGCGTTGCGTAGAAAGGTGGGAAGGCTACAATACGTGTGTATGCCACATGTGGTAAGTAAAGGGGGGCAAAAAAAAAAAGTCCTCTGCCACGGCTTCCTTTTAGAGTGACAAATATGGGCAGGGTGCACTGTGTGGCGAACCAGCATCAGTCAAAGTTCTGCAGGGAGAGCTTCTCCTTAAAGCGCTCGTACTTGAGGACGTCTTCCGGGCGAATGGAAATGCGCGCGTTTTTGAAAGCCAAGTCAAAGTGCTTCTTGGCCAACGTGGGCACCGGGTCGTAGTGGTCATCCGCACACTGCGTTCGTGCACCTCCCCCCTTCTCCACCTTCCGTTGGTTAATCAAATGAATCGTTTCTTTAATCGCTTCATTCACAGCACTCTGGCAGAGGTTAGTAATGTCAGCCCCGGAAAAGCCCTCTGTGCGTTTGGCCATGTCGTATAGATCAACATCCTTACTCAGGGGTGTGTTTTTCAAAATGGCTTTAAAAATACTACACCTACTTTTATAATCTGGAAGAGAAATATATATGAGCTTGTCTAACCGTCCTGGTCTGGTTAGAGCTTTGTCTAGGATGTCAGGTCGATTCGTAGCTGCAATTATGAATATGGTCTTCTTTTCATTTATACCATCAATTTCGGTGAGGATCTGATTAATGACCCGATCGCTAGCGTCGTTGTTGTTGCTACTGTTTCTTTCCTTGGCCAATGAATCAATTTCATCGAAGAAAATAATACAAGGGGAAGCTGCTCGTGCTTTATCAAATAGGTCCCGTACATTTGCCTCGGATTCTCCAAACCACATGGTTAATAATTCTGGCCCTTTGACCGAAATGAAATTAGCATTACATTCATTTGCGATTGCTTTTGCTAATAACGTTTTTCCACAACCAGGGGGACCATACAGTAATATCCCTTTATTATAATTAGAGTTGAATTTTGTGTACAGGTGTTTATATTCTAGAGGGTAAAGAATGGTTTCCTTCAATTGCTCCTTTACTTCATGCATCCCTCCAATATCGTCCCATGTCACGGTGGGTATCTGCACTTGTCTTTCTCGTAATGAACTGGGATTACATATGTTGAGTGCATGTTGGAAGTGCTTTGCCTTTATGGTTAATTTGTTGAGGATGTACGGCGGGATTTTCTTCCCCCTGCTGTCTAGTCCTTCTCCTGCTGCGTTGCTGTGATCCCGTTGGCCTCCTTTCCCCCCCAACCAGGACTTGCCGGCCGTCGGAGCCATTTTTGACGTTTTTGCCATGCTTGACGATTTTGCCATGCTTGACGATTTTGCCATGCTTGACGATTTTGCCATTTTTGCCCTTTGGAAAAAAAAACCCATTTTCTCCTTCACCTCCCCAACACTAGCCACACTACCACCCCCCACATTGTCGTCCCCCCCCCCATCACTACCCCGCCTCTCATCAACACTTATTTTCATAAACTCGATAAAATCTTCCTCGTCTAGGTCCAGAAAGTGCACATGCTCCTTAATACACTGAATGGCTGCCTCGAAGCAGAGCTGCGCAAGATCTGCACCGACATACCCATGGCACTCCTTGGCAATTTTTCTTAAATTCACATCTGCATCTAATTTCATTTTCTTCGTTTTGGTGAGTAAAATTTCGTACCTCCCTTGTTCATCTGGTACTGGAATTTCAATTTCCCTATCGAATCTACCAAAGCGTCTGAGGGCAGGGTCGATAGAATTCGGTCTATTGGTTGCAGCCAAAACCAACACATTATTATTTTTTTTTAGTCCGTCCATGAGAGTGAGTAATTGTGAAACGACTCTCTTTTCCAACTCGTTTGTACTCTTACTCCTTTTATTTGCAATGGAGTCAATTTCGTCTATGAAAATAATGCATGGTGTTTTCTCGCTAGCTTTTTTAAAAATTTTTCTGAGCTTTTGCTCTGACTCTCCTATATGCTTGGACATAATTTCTGGTCCATTGATGATGTAACAGTATGCATTCGTTTCATTAGCAATTGCTTTTGCGATGGAGGTCTTTCCTGTGCCGGGGATACCATGCATGAGTACCCCCTTGGGAGCTGATATTCCTATACTAATAAATATTTCAGGATATTTTAAAGGCAACTCGATCAATTCCCTAATTTTATTTAATTGTTTTTTCATTCCTCCAAGGTCTTCATAGGTAATGTCGTCTGTGTGCTCTTCATAATCCTCTCTGTTCAAATATTCCTCATCCAACGTGATGATCGCATTATCACCTACGTAACCGTACTGCTGTGAACTCGGTACATCTACTCGTCTTGCTGCCAACCCCCCCTCCTCCCCCTTCCGACTTGCTTCTTCCTCTCCCTCCTTCATCAACTTGACAACCCTAAACTCGATTTTCTTCCCCTTATGCGAGATATACAAATTTGTATTTTCACACAGAGGCTTGAAACTCCCTTTTAGGTATGGCTTCAGCACCTCTTCCTCCAACTCCCTTTTACTTAGCCCTCCTACCGTGTCACTGAAAGGACTAACCACAACTGTTCGTAAAGGACTTACCTTCACTAATGGGTATATCTTTATAATGTCATTGTGCATGAGTCTAAGATTTTTCTTCATCGCAAAAGATATCACAACGAAATGTTTTTTTAATCTTGTGTCCACCTTGGCCACGGCTAACATTTCCTTTTTCTTCTTTCCCTTTAACAACACCGTGAAACCCTCACTCAGATTCAGCTCCTCCATCTTTTCTTTACTCATGTATATTTCGCAATTGTCGATATGCTCATCAATATTGTCCACGAGACAGTAGGAGGGAAATTTTCCTGTCTCCAGTGCCTTGAGGAGGAAATTCGTTTCCTTGTCATGGTCCGTGCCTCTACTAGGTCGTTGCGTCTGTCCTGCTGAATTTTCTTCTCCTGGGGGGGGCTTATCCTTCGACTGACTTGACCACCATGAGTTCTTGTCTGGGTCACCACCTCCTGCTCCCCCATTCGCACTACCGTTAGAGGCGTCCTCTTCCTTCACACGTGCATGGTCACTTTTTTTCCCGAATGACCAAAATTTGCTAATGAGCCCTTTAATCAGGTTGTTGTGGAGGATATGCATTTCTTCCTCCGATGATGCATTTCCCCCCTGCTTTGTTTCCCCCATGGGTACATACATACCCCGTCCTGCATCACCACCGCTACTGTTATCACTGCCCCCACATTTAGCATCAACAGTGATGTCTTCCGAGGAGAGTTGCTTCTTCTCCTTAAGCATTTTACACCCCCTTTCATGTTGACCCTTTTGTGTAGCGTCCACATTGACCACTTGACTCTTCCATTCGTCTTTTCCTTTCGCATAAGAAGACGGGTCTTTAAAAATGTCTGTACTAATGGAAGTAAATTTATTTTTTTTCCTTCCTAGGGGGAAAAAAATCGAGTTGCCAATATTTTTTCTCTTAACAAAAGGGGACCTACTTTCATGGTTTCCATTTGCGAGGGTAAAACGGACATCCTTTTTTAACCCAATTTGATTTGAAGGTTCGAAGGTGAAGAGCAGGATGAGGGTAATGACGAGGTAGGGGGGTAGGAGCGCTTTTCGCAGGGGGTAAACATGCCGCATTTTTTCTCCTTTCACTTTCATACTTGTTTAATGTTACATTTTTGGTGGTTTGTATGCGCGCTCGGAGGGGAGGGGTGGCGACATGGGGGGGGGCAGGAGGTCTTCGGCCTGGAGTCACTTCTGCGGTTGGTTCAATGTGGCCTCTACACGTGTGTTATACTTAATAGGCCCTCTCTAATTACACCACTAGGTTGTACTCTCTCCTCCACACGACCCCCACACAATCACACACGTTGACAAACCACACGGAGGGGGGAAAAAAAAAAAAAAAAAAAACTTTTTCTCTGTGCAGTTGGGGTATGGCCTTTTTACACGTGGTCTCTTATGCGGGGATGCCTGCGTAGAAGAGTGTACGAACTTATTAAACTCTCGAGCATCCTTCGCATGTGCGCTGCGCCCTACGCTTATGCACGCTGTTCTTGTGGGAAGCATGCCGAGGGTGGCCGTTGCGAGCAGTCGTTTTATTTAGCTATCACATGGCCGCTACACGCTGCACTGCTCTCGATCGCGTGGCGCTTTTATTAACAGATGATGGTTGTGTAAAAAAACGATTACACAATTTTTATCAACATTGTTGCGACGTCCCTTTTGTTTCACTCGGAATGCATGGCGCGACAGCCTGTCACCCCCACTCACGCGTGCATAAAAAGGTAACCCTACAGAGGTGTATCTCTACACGCGCGGGAGAGGAAAAAAAAAAAAAAAAAAAAAAAATGCTTCACATTTTGGAACAGAGTTACCTTGCCTGTTCATATATTCTCACCTTGCTCAGATTTTTTTTTTTTTTTTTTTTTTTCTCTCCCTCTGATGCAGCGACAGAGGGACAGACTTTCTCTTCTGTTTCGTGAAAGAGGGGCACCACACTTTCGTAGCCGCATACAGGTTCCACTTTCGTGGGGTGTACTTTTGCGTAGTTGTGCTTACTGTGGCGTGGAGGCAGAAAGTTGCACCACATGTCGGCGCTCACACAGACGATAGGTGATTCGAGGCACGAATAGCAACAAACTGTTTAAGCGACACTACAGTACAAGTGCAGCGGAATGATTACGGAGTGCATGTGTAGTGAGAGGAGGAGTTGTTAAGAAAACGTCGACTCTACATGGAGAAGAATACGTATGCAGCCTTTTAACCTGTGCCCAAAAAAAGAACAACGGAGTCGCGTTTTTTTAGTGCACCCAAGAAACAAAGCTCAGGCACTTCCAACAGAAGAGTTGAGGAAAAAACGTCTCAAGTGAAGGCTAACACGGATGGGTGTAAAAAAAAAAAAAAATACCCAACGGAAAGGTTTATGTTGCGGTGGTGTGGTGCAAAAGACCCCCCCCTTTGGTGATACTAAGATGAAGCAGCTGATAATTTATATTCATATTAATTTAAAAAAAAAAAAAAAAAAATCCTAAAGTTTAATTTTCGTTTTTTTTTTTTTTTTTTTTTTTTGTGAAAGTGGAGAAAGCATCAAATGGGGACAAGTTACAGCCACTGCATAAGTGTATGTTTGAGATTGCACATGCGGAGGAAAAACTACCACCACCCCACACACACACACAAATATACAGGTGGAACATGATTAATATGTAACACAAAAATGTTGAATGCATCATTCGGGTTGACAGGAGCAAAGGGGAAAGGGGGGGTGGTAATGTAAGCAACGTAAAAAAAAAAAAAAAAAAAAAAAGGATAATCGCTGCGTAAAACATAAACAAAACCTACAACGTTGAAAGTGACACGAATGCACACACGCAGGGGTAGGGGTAGGACAATATACTCATCATTATTTACTATCGTAGACAAAAAAAAAGAAAAGAAAAAAAAGGGCTTCAAAAATTGTGATTCGTACATGCACGTTCAACGTGCGTTTAACAAAGCATATTTGCGCGGCTGGCTATTTTTGTGAGTAATTGGTGGGGAGGGGGGCGGCTAACATTCTTTGGTTGTTATGGTGTCGCCGCTTTACTTCGCTTCGCTTCCTTACCGCTTGGCTGCTTCATCGCTTCGCAGCTTTACCGCTTCGCGGCCTTATGGACCCCACCTCAAGCTCGGTCAATGAGCTTGTTCTTCGAGATGTAGTAAATGGAGAGGGAGGACATGGTGCCGGTGGTGTGGATGAGGAGGTGGTAGAGGGTGCTGTACGAATTGTAACTGAACCTCTTCCCAGCAAAGTAAAGTATAAACATAAAAATTGCCCCACAAATACACACAAAGAAACACATGGAATTTATTTTAAACGAATGAATAAGGTGCATTAGGATATTCATAAGAGTCATCGTTATGTCTACCGTCCTAGACAATCCCAATTTGGGGTTCCTCCAGTGTATTATTGAAGTTAATAAAAGGCCCGTGTTAAAAATGGCCAGGTAGTAGAACTCGCAATACAGAGAAAACATCAGGGAGAGAGACAACTGGAAGCAGGAAAAGAATAAAATGTGTTGACATTCGTACGTTACGTATTTACATGGGTCTATCTTCTCGCTCATTACACTTGAGCTGTCCGTGCTGCTGCCTTCACTCTCGGAGCAGCTCTCCTCTGCCTTGTTCCCGTGGCGCCCATTCGTGCACTGCATTATTCTATCGTACATCTTCATCGTGGCTGCTTCCTGCTGGGCCGTTTTTGCTACTTCCTGTTGGGCAGTTTTTGCTACCCCCTCCTCGGCGTGCTTCTCCGCGAAGGCCGCTTCTTCAACTAGAGCGACGCCGCCTCTGTCCCACCACCCCCACTCGGTGTCACAAGAAAAAAAGGGGAAAAAAAAAAAAAAAAATTCTTTTCTGTTTAGAAAAAAGGGCCCAAGAAATTTCTCTCCCCCCCTTGTGTGTCCGTTTGGTATGCTCTAGACACGTACTCGACGTACATCTTCTTTCTTCCCTTGCACCTTTCCTGAATTAGCTACGCTCGTGGAGATCCTCTTCTTCAAAACGTATATAATGTGTACATGTATATATGTGTATTTGCTGCGGACAGTTACACACACATGTGTGTTTGGTGTTACACCTGAGTGACTTCAACACTTGGCCCACTTCCACCCCTTCGAACACTCGTCTTTAGAGGAGCGGATTATAACGTCGCCGCACGTGGGTAGCAGCTCAGCAAAGGTAGCTGCCTTTATGGAGGGAGCAGGAAGACCCCCGGGTGAAGCTGTCCCAAGACGTGGTTTGGGCACAAAAAAGGGGTGCGTAAACAAGGGACATAAAAAGGTGGAATAAACGAGGCACAAGCTCGATATGAGGATGTAACACATAAATGGGGAGAGAGAAGGAAATGTAACACGCACACGGTAACAGATCAGCTGTACCGAACGATCAACAATTGACATTCATTTTAGAGTAAGCTATGAATAGGTATGGGGTTAAATACGGGCTGGCGAAACAGCCGCGGTGTAAGAATCTACGCAGAAGAGAAAAAAAAAAAAAAAAAAAAGGGCTGCAAAGTGAGCCTCCGCTTCTTCTTTTTTTTTTTTTTTTTTTTTTTTTTCACACATCACAATAAATGGAGACCAAGTGGGCATATGTATTATGAACCCAAATGAGGGTGTAAGTAAACTAAAGAGTAGCCAACAGAATGGCACAAAGAAAAAAGTGGAAGATGAACACAGTTCATTAAAGACTTCTCTCCTCCCCAGGGACTGCTCTAATGGTTTCTCTCTTAAAGGGATGTCGCCCCAAAACAGAGTACGCTAAACGGCGCACACCGTTAAACGCACTCTATGCGCTGCGCTCGATGGTGCTCTTTTTCTTTTTTTTTTTTTTATCCTGCTAACAGCGAAGGCGCGTGTGTTCTCTCCAGTGTGCACCTACTCACAATATTGGTTCGTGTACGGTGCATATTATTACAATAAGATAATTACAAAGAATAATTTTTTTTTTTTTTTTTTTTTTTATAACCTTGTGCCGAGGACCCATTATGGAGAGTGGGGCGGGGTGTTAGAGGGATAGCCCTGGGACGAAAACAGGTGTACACCTACACGTGGTTTTTCATAGATCAGCGAGGAGAGACTAAGGCAAAAAAGTGGAGCGCAAAAAAAAAAAAAAAAAAAAAGGGGTAATTTTTTTTTTTTGCGAGTTGATAAGGCGCGAAATAGCAGGGGTTATAAAAAAGGAGCGACGCAAAAGTGGGTGCTAAACAGAGGGGCGCTAATAATTGCGACGTTGAAGAGTGCCCCCCTTCGACTAACAACAAAAAAAAAAAAAAAAGCACTACTTCGGTGTGTATATAAAATAGCAGAACGGTGGCAGCCTCGGCAAGGTAAAAAATTTTCATCACAGCATTCTTTTACACAGTTGGAACATGTGCGTTTTTTTTTTTTTTTTTTTTTTTAAGTTACCCTACCTCTCTAACCAATATTAGAACAAAAATAATTTACACGGAAAGTTCCTGTATGTTTTCGTTACCACGCCGTGATATGGAGGGGGGAAGAATTCTTTTAAAAAATGGGACAAGGTGGTAACTCCCGCATGCAAGGGTGTAGCATATGTAATTGCATGGCGAGACTGCCCTCGTGTACAAGGACACGAATTGTATATCGGTATGATTCCATGTGTGACGTAACGTGGGGGGATGCGACAATCTGAACTTTTATTAAAAAAGCAATATGAAAGATACCCATTAAAATTGCTCGCTGGCATTTTTGGCAGGACGTGTACTGGTCGCTCATAGGAGGTTATATGTTCCCACCTCGGGAAGACTTCTTTCTTTTTTTTACTTCCATCTCTGCGTGGTAGATTCTACCAAGTGGAAAAGGCGCAACTGTTATTTGTATACACATATGTGCATTCACCCGTGGGAATTTCTCGCGACCAAGGCGGGGCACATTTCTCGCACAAAAAAAAAAAAAAAAAAAAAAATTTATCCCATCTGTGAAAGGGTAACTCGAACAAGCGGTATCTCTACATGGTAAAAAAAGAAATGCGAATTAATTTTTGCGCAGAGGTGACTTTTGCGCTACACGTTACGTAGGTGTTGAGGGGCCCTGCTTCGTTCTCCTCCGTTGTGCGCTGCAAAAAACAAAAAAAAAAATATACATATATACATATATGTATGTATATATTCGTATGTATACCGCTTGGCGACAAAGAAGGGACTTCATTTTTCCTGTTGATAGGGGACGCGTTCCATGCCTTTCCCCGGAACCGCTTGTCGACAAGAGCTGGGCATAAGAGGCAGGGCCCTCTATAGGGTACGCCTCTAGAGGACTTCCCCCGCCTCCGCGTCACCTTAATGGCAGTGCTGAGTAGAAGACCGTTTGTCCATTGGGGGAACGCGAAGGGGGTTTGGGCTCGCCGGAATGGCGGCGGGAAGAGGAGGTTCGCGCAGCTGGTTGGGGGAGGCGGCCAGCATGGATGTAGCCAGCATGGATGTAGCCAGCATGGAGGCGGCCAGCATGGAGGCGCGCAGCATGGAGGCGCGCAGCATGGATGTGGCGAACACAGACAAATGAACGACTTCCACTACTTCAACATTTTCCTCCTCAAGGGCAGCGACTTGGTTAAGCTAACATCAACATACAATTTGTGTGAAAACAAAAATATGTACGCGTGCATACTGCTCCACCTGAGCAATGTGTATGAGTCCATCCCAGTTAGGGACGTCGTGAAACTTTTAAAAAATATTCTCGAGCAGAATAAGGCCTCCTTTTCTCACCACTTTATAAAGGGAAAGAAAATAAGTGACTTATATAAACACGTGTGTCACCAGCTGGACAAGCTGAATACAGCAGAAGTGATTGACTTACTCAAATGTGCTTGCTACACCACACAGGATTTTCCTGTAGAATGTATTAGCCTGTTATGCAGAGTGATCGGTTCGAAGCCCCTGAGTTCCTTCCACCCCAAACAGCTACACGAGATCTGCTCCTGCTTAATAAAAATGAAAAATGAATTCTCTTTGAGGAAGCTCATATATGATTATACACTTCATGTGAAGATGCTCGAACATGTTAAGGAAAGAATCGTTGGGTGCGATGCGCAGGCGTTCTTTGAATACCTACCCCTGTATATTAGCCTCTCCAAGGGGGCTCCCCCCCACGTGGCCGCTTCCCCCCCGGAACGCAACCTAAGGAAGACCTGCGAACTGATATTCCTGAACCACCTAAACGAGCTCAACCGGGAGTTCCTCCTCCCAGCAGTTAGCATATTCAAGTGGCTAGATGTGAGAAATCACTCCATTTTTTTTCACATGTGCGATGCGTTTGTCCACAATGCATTTGTCTTAGATGTAAAGTACGTCGTGCGCTTCTGGAGGAAGTGTCACTCCTTGAGGTTTGAAAAAGGGGGACGGAAGGGTCATGTGGAAGGGGAGAAGCGAACCGTACCCTGGGATGAGCCGCTTAGGAGGGGGAACAAAGAGGCAGTTATTAACACCCCTGGTGAAGACAACCCGGTTACACGTAAAGCGGGTCATGTGCTGTCAGAGGAGAGGCCCCATTTGGAACACGAAAAAGAGGAAGAGGAAGGGAGTAATGTGTTGTTGAGTTTTATTAACAGAAAGGTGTATCACATGACACCACCTCAGTTAGCTCGAATTACTTATGGTCTGTACAGCTTCGTGGAGAACATGAAGCAGTACTCACAGCTCAGTAGCTTGAGGAATAATATGAACCTTTTATTTTCCATGGCTGTTCAGTACGTATTGAATTACCTCGACAGAGGCTCTTTACACCATGAAGGGGTTCCTCCAAGTGACCCCATATATAAAGGTGCTGCTGATATGCCACTCACATGCGAAGGAGAGCACCCAAGCAATATTAACATGAGTACCGATTACATATACATATATGAGTCTGGTGTGCATGTGAGTAGGGGGGGGGAACACCATCTCCCATCAGATAGAAGCAGTCGAGATGGTGTGCTGTCGAGTGGCTCCTCCCCACGGCGAGTCAACCTCACGCACGCATGCGATATCCTCCTGAACATTAGCTACCTCAACACGAGCCAGAATCACCGCAAAATTAAGGAAGCATATGAATGTATAAAAAAAATAATCACACAAGAAGACCCCCCAGCAGAATTGAATCATCTCTTGTCGCTCCTCCTGTGCATGTCTAACTTGTATCATCGCACTAGAGACAATTATGTGTTCCATTTGTACAAACAGATTTTCCACATGTTACAAATGCATAAGACCAACTTCAATGCACATCACTTTAACAGACTCTCCATAGCTGTTACTCCGTTGATGCAAGAAAAGAATAACTTAATAGGAGGGTATGCTGAGCTGCTTTGCTTCTTTATTGAAAATGAAGTGGTTCCCTTGAGGTCCTGTGTCTTTACACTTCAGCATGTGATGAAGAAGATCTGTATCAAGTTAAGCGATCCCCTCGTGAAGCTTCTTCTGGTGATCATCCGTCGCATCTACACATTCCTGAGCGACGTACATGCACACGTTGTGAAGAGCGGCGCAGACAACGGCGGTGATGAAGACAGCCTTGTGAACGTTAACGAGGGGGACTGCTCACACAGTAGTGCTAATCGCGACGCGTTTAAACGATTCCTCCTTCTACACTCCATCAACGACAGCACACTCACTTGCGTCCTCGTTAGCCTGTCGCTTGTTTTACAAAATGCCAGGTACGGCACGGGGGCGAGGGACGAGGCAGCGGAGCTTTTGTGTAAAGTCATCTCCTACGTGTCCACGGGCTCTCTCGAGAAAATTCCGAAGAAGTACATTCACGCAGGGCTGCTGGACGCACTCCCCCCCGATGATAGCAGGGTTAAGAAAGTCCTCCTGAGCAAGGCGTAGCGTTCTCCAAAGCAAGATGCGCAGCGATTGGTGTGGGTCTTTTTTTTTTTTTTTTTTTTTTGTATTTTTTCCTATATTGAATTACAAAGGTGTACAGGTGCCAAAGTTGCAGACATGCACCATTTAGCCGCTTGGCTTTTTTTTTCCCTTTTTTGAAGGATCACCGTGACCAGGCACGAATGAGAATGCGAACTGGATGGTTCAACAACCCGTTGGTTGCTTTGTTTAAATGTGTAATGCGTTACGAATACGCGTAATACGTGGAACCCCCTCATTCTAAACGAAAAGTCAAATGAACAAACCACCGTCAGGGGGGGGGGGAAAAGGTAGCTTTTCCCGATTGCTTCCCAATTTGTAGTTATGTCGACCTCATCAGGATGCTATTTACGCGCAGTTATATTTTTTTTTTTTTCTCTCTTTATATATATATATATGTATATGTATACATGTATACATTGCAACGTACTATTTGGACTTCACTTTTTTTTTTTTTTTTTTTTTT